AAAATTAGCGAGACCGGAAAGATTTTGGTTTCGGCGAGAAGGACAGGCTTGTTGTGATTATCTGTGCGAGATTCTGTGTAGTGGATTTCTCCGGCGATGGGCACTGGATTCTTTCTTGGAGCTGACGGGCTACCGACTGCCAATTCTCTGCTGTGAAATGATCATCGAGCAGCTGATAAATCAAGATTTATTTCGTATTTGCTTGGCTGTTTCAAGCCAAAGTCCTAAGAACAATAAAAAAAAAGTAATAACTGCAATACAATGTAATAAAAGATCCATAAGAGCTAAAAAAATTCCAAAAAAGCTTGATGATTATGTATGGTCAAGATTCTGAAAGCACATTGTTATTTTTGTTATGAAATTAATAAAAGGACTGAAAAAGATATTACTTTATAACACATGTACTTGGTAGCTATATATTTTTCAAATCTTTTAAATAAATAAATTTAAAAAAATTACTTTAATGATCTTTTTATATTTATCAACGAAACATTATTATAATCAATCATATGTCTTGAAAAGTTTGATTCAATACCACAAACCAAAGAGGTGTGCTCGTGTACCGATAATCTGCCATCGTAAGGAGCAGGACAATCGGAAGCTTGAGCAGCGACTAAATACGCCACAGCGAGGCGATTCTCGCGTAAGCGATTTCCTGCACACGCCGTATACTGACCAGCGTCGAGCGTGTGCGTTTTAACGCATAATTAACCGACATTAACGTTCGTACGTGCGCCACCCCGATGGTATATATCTTTGCGGACTCGCTGGAGCTTGGCTATACGTTGTTGCTGCTGCCGCGGCGCATATCGTCCTAAATCTCGTTGCTTTACGCTGTTTGTGCTGTGCGTTTTTAAACGCGCTTTATACTTTAGTTTTCGTATAATTTTTCCGTCGCCGAGCTGAGTCACGAGTTTAGCCCCCCGCGACCATTTTTTACATTATTATTTATATGCGCTGCCGAGTCGAACGAAAATCCAGAAAAATGTTGCATTAGTTTCTAGCCGAATTTACCGGCGGGCTTTCTCTACACCAATAGCGAATGGAAAATCCCCATTTCTCGCTGAAAACGAAAAAAAAAATTCTTTGTTTGTGCCGTAAAAAAGCTTCGCGTGGAATACCTATTTTTTCTTTCTCCCTGTAGGCTGACTCTGCTGCTGCTGCTGCACTCAGTGATGTGTTTTCGGATGACTTCGAAGTGCTGCTGCTGCTGCTCCGAGCGCGAGCTGCAATTCTATATATGTGCGCGAAAGATCCGAATTTTTCAGTCTGAAATAACAGTGACGAATCAAATGTTGACACACGAAACATCTGGAGGCACGTGCGAACTCGATTAACATTCAAACGATAAATTCGTCCGCCCGCGTATGTACATAGGAATGGCTTTCGAAATTTATTCTATTTTCAATATTTATTCGGTATGACACCGCATTTCGATCATGTAAAAATGTATTCGTCTCTCTTTGTTGTTGTTGAATATCAATGATATTCGCATATTTGCCCAAGATCCTCTTTTTGGCCGTTAAGCTCGTCATCGTGTTTGCGATCATACTTTCATCTTGTTACATTAGCTTCGTGATTCATTACAATAACCAATACAGTTTCAGCTTATCTCACGCATATTCGACAGAAAAAATACCCCCGAGGTATACCTGCATTTTTTTCTCTTTGCTCTTCCCGTGTTGCGGACTTCACAAAGCGGCACGAAAGAAACTCGTTACGCTTACGACGATAGGATACATGATAAACTTCAAAGGATCATTTTTATTTAATTAAAATAAGTATACTTTATCCAATTAACTCTCTCCCTCTCTCGAGCAAAACAAAGTTATGCATTGTGTGGGTAGTATAAGGATTCGTGTGCGATATGCAGGAGGGATGAAATTCGACGTTGTGTGCACGAAGCATGCCTCAAGCTTTCAAGGATCGTGTCTTGGACAAATTGAAATCAGCCGGCGTCGATACACCTCTAATCCTAATGAATACATAATACATGCAAAACCATTTCTGAATACACGCGCAGCGCATGGAAAGAGGTATATAAATTGTAGATCCAATAATAATAACACCGGCGTCGTTTAATCATGCGAGATTACAGTATCCGAATCTAATCGGTAAATAATTCGGTTTTTGGTCATATGGCCGTTGAAGTACAATAATTGACCAATCGTATACACTCGATCCACGTCGCTACAGGATATCTTTCCCTGTATCAATGAACTCGAGCGTACAAATGAAGTGAAACAAAAATATGACTAACGATCGACGTTTAAATTATAAATAGTACAGGTGCAATACGCGAATAGTACGCGCATATACATTCGCGTTGGGAATAATCTGCATAAACTCATTCCTATGCAAATGGAGAGCCCGAGCCACTGAAAGAGATTTCGAGGATCGTCGTTCTCTCTCTCTCGAGCTCGTTGTATCGGCGGATCAATTTGAATTTATGGACATTTTAATTTTCTGCTAATGATCTAAACGAAGTTTTTCTCCCTCTCTCTTTCTCGACCGATGTAAGCTGGCTTGTGATTTATGAAACGTTTATTGCATGTAAACAGCGGTCTTGAAATAATTATTGCCATACAGAGAGAACTTTTTTACTCGAAGCTTTTTTTCTCTCTCTCTCTCCCTTCTTTGTGTATATAGAGCCTAGGCTCCTCGCGTGTATATCAACGATAAATCTTTCAGGATCCGTAATTACGAAGTTCTAGCGAGCGCCGCTGCAAAAATTTCAACTCTACGCTCGCCGGTAAGAAGAATGCAGAGTCGCCATCAGCGCTCCCGAAGGTGCGGAGGCGCTTCAAGCTGCGCGACTTTCATTCATAAAATTGATACATTACCACCGCGCCAGAAGAAGCTACGAATTCCGCGTTCTTCCAAAAGTTCGTACCCCCAACACACACACATACATACGTATACGTGTACACACATACACACTTGGGGTTCATATAAGAAGCTCATAAAACGTCCAGAAGACAAAAGCGAGAGAGGAAAGCTGCTAGCCGGGAAAAACTTTTTATCGTCTTGCATAAAAAATCTTTCAGGCTAAATAGGCGCGCGCGTATTTTACGACAATTTGTTGCATCGAAACTTGCCGTTAAAAAAAAACTTGTTCTCTTTCTCTGTTTTTTGGTCTTATCCCCGAAATACCCTCGCGAGTATAAAACTAAAAGCATTGAAATATCGGTAGTGTTTCGAAGCCACAGGTATATTGAGCGAAAAAATTCACGTTTAAAAAAATAAAAGGCAGTTGGCCAAGTGTTTCTGATCGTGTCAATGACTGCGTTATTGATACAAAAAGTAGGTAGGGAGTCTCGTTGTTTATTCAAAACCTCGATACAATTACCAAGAGTGAAGACGCGTAAAGTCGCACGTAATACTCCACTTGAGTGCCACATTTTTTGTTATAAATACAGCTCCAGGGGAATTTCACATACTCGCGTCATTTTGTCAAGTCGCACCAAGTTTTCTTTCCCTACAAATGAAATTGTATCTTTTTGCGCGTAAAACAGTACCTGCGGAGTTTTGTGGTTGGCGCGAAAAATTGATTAAATCATATTCTGATAACATTCTCCAAGATGAAGTGATATTTTCGTTTTTTTTTCGTCTCAAGAAGTAACAACTTACCTCGAAAAAAATTGACCTACTGAATTTCCATAATATCACCGAGTATGCCTTTATGCGTAACTCAAAGCTTACTGTTTCCATAAATTCAAAACGATGGAAGTTAAACGCGGACTTTTTCTGCAAAAGCTTCTCTCCGATGACCTCGTAGCCCCAATTACATTGTACCTTTTCATTCCGTCATTATTTTTCATTGTTTCTCTCCGAGAGCACGAATGCCATCCACATAAAGCGCGTAATATTTAATAAACAAAAAATCATATTGCATTCAACAATTCCACACGGAGCGTACGGCGAGGCATTATTATTCATATCCAACGTATTAATCCGTTGCGAAGTCAAACAATTCACTGTCAATAATTACGCACACAAAAGCTACTTTGTACACACGAATGCGAATGAAATATTTATTCGTTAGCTTTTGCAATCTATTAGCGGGAATACAATATGGTTAATAAAATATCGCGCTCGCTATAGCTCGTCGCGCGTCACCGTGCAACTTCGTCGGTCGAATTATATATCGTAAAAATGAAATAATAAATCAATTCTTTATACATGATTATATTTGTCTTGGTCGATGCATTATTCCGAGGGCTGCTGTACATAACACAATACGCTCTCGTGAACCGAGTTAGTTTCAATAATGCATCGTTTGATACACGAACATATGTAGAGGAGAGAGAGAAAGAGAGAGAGGTAGTGAGTGTGCACAGGGTATTTGCGCACATACACACACACACACACACACACACACACACACACACACACAGACATTAGTGATGCAGTCAAGTCATAAACGCGTATCGCTCGAAGCGCAGCGAGTACAACGTTACAAACCCGCTACGGCTTGCTCAGAGACTATACTACGCAGAGCAGCTATATGTATACACAATTTCCTTGGCTCCGTTGTGCCGTGCGCCGACTTCGCTGCTGCTGCTGCTGCTGCTGCTGCCGTTGTTGTTGTTGCAAGCTCGCACAGTGTAGTCGAGTGCGGGGGCGATGTGCACGAGCCGTATATATATGTATAGAGCGAGAGGCTGCGGCTTTAACAGGCAAGTGATTGCGCACCGGCAACGCAACTGTATTAGTCGAAATGCTGTTTCTCGCTAATACGAACTGCGATAAACGTTTATCCCGAGAGCAGCCCTGCGCCCTGCCCTGCCCTGCTTTTGCGGCTGCGGTCGTTTGCGCCGAATTGATCTCTCCTTAATTCCCGCATATGCTGATATAAACGCGCCATCCAATATTGCCCGGATGTATCGATTGTATATTATTTCTCCTTAATGCCGACTGCGCGGCGGCGGACGATTAAAAGCCCCGTATTAACCATTGGTGTTTTTTATTTTCCAGTTGCGCTGGAGTCGAACAAGTAGAGTCCTGCGGAGCTTTGGGATGAGGCAGACCAGCGCGAAAACGTCGTCCCGGTGAGGCAGAGGCTACGAGGGTTACTTCGAGACCCTCAACAAGGAGACGACGAGGCGGAGGAGGAGGTGGAGGAAGAAGAAGAAGAATGACGACGACGAGCCGCCAGCAACAGCTGATGCCCAGAAGACATCGCTTGCTGCTCCCGGCCGCCGATCTTATCGCTGCTGGGCTGCTCCTCGTCGTACTCGGCCTCGCGACGACCGCCAGGGCCATCGATCTTTGTAAGTTTCTCCAACATCGTATAGTGTATATATAGCGCGTGCAACATTTGTGCGCGATGAAAATTATCCTCGAGCAATTATCCCGATTTATCAATGAAGCAGTCAATTTGACATGTTCATCGAGAGTATCCGCGGGAGTAGCAGCGAGTCGGAGAGAAAAAAAACGGAGGATAAATGCCTGCCGCATAAGTCTCGGGAATTACGCTATCGTCGAGTATCAATTACGCGTCGATAAACCGTCCTCCTATATCATCTTTCGATCGTGCTCCATTCTTTGAGATAGCATCATTACATAGGCGGCATCGTGATACGCGCTGCATTTTACTGCTCTTTCTCGCGGCTACACTACATATAGCAGTTCTCGCGTTATAACGACAGGCAGTATGTGTCACGCGCAGGGCCCCCGACCGACGTCGCGACTACTTTGAATTTTTCACTTCGCTCCAGTCTCTCCGCCAATCGAAATGCCATAAATCCTCGTTCGGCAGCCGCTGCAACGACAGCAGTTAGTAAAATGTGTCCCTCTCGTACATAGATGCTAGGCAGCGCAGCGTCGCTCGTCGCCGTTCTCGATTTGCATGTCCAAGTGCCTAAGTCAGCTGCTACTGGGTACTCTCCGATAACGAGATCGCGTCCATTGCTCCTTTCGCTTTTCAACTTATATACATACATTATATGCATCGAAGACAGCGTCGCTATACCAATCAGCCAACTTCTTCCGTCGTCCTTATATTATAACGTAGATACCAGACGTTTCAGCGCGTCCTTCCTCTCGCGATGCTTTTTTTTCTCGAGTTTTTGATTTATGCAGCTGTGCATATCTATGTAGATGGAGGAAGGTGCACTCGTGCGAGTTTACGCCGAGAGAGCAAGAGCAACAGAGAGAGAGAGAGAGATGCTTGTTCGTCACGGTACTTTATCGCGATCGTTTAATCTCGATGAGACCTGGCCGTCGATCAGCTTCTGCCTGCCTCGCTACGTCTATACTATAGCTATAGTATGCATTTGATACCGAGGAGCAAAGAGCTCGGCCGAGCTGGCTTGGCTGTTTGTACTTTTAATGCGCTCCAGTTTAAGGCTGCCGGTGATTGGATCATTTTTTTAATGTTATTACTTTGAAACGAGCACGACAACGATGTATATATAGGTGTTATATCATAGGTACTATGATTAAAAGTGTTTGAAAATCCTTTTCCAAAGCCCCACCGAGCGCCGAGCGCGCGAGCGATATAATATGCGAGCTTATTGATGAAAAAAAAAAGAGCCACCCGATCTCTCGAGTCAAGCGCGACGTAATTGCTTTTCTTGTAAATACGTATATAGTTATAATAAAGTTAACTTTATTTAATATTTTATTTTATATATAATACGGCTCCACGTGACTCTGATACGGTCGATTTTTTCCTTTTTTCTTTACCAACTTTCGGTCGTTCGATTGAAACTTAATTGGCCATCGAACGAAAAATGTCGACTTTTTAAAAGGATCTGCCGAGTAACCTACAAAGACACGCGCGCACAAAGAGTCTTGCCGAGTGCACTAATGATTGGACTTTTTTCCCGATATATATGCGGGTCAAGTATCTTCCTTCGGCTAAATAACAAAATAATTTCGCCATCGTTTCTTCGATATTATATTCAAAATAGAGATTGATCGAGCTCGAGCTTTCTCGCCGCGATCGATCGTTAATCCTTTGAACGGCTTTACCTATTTATAGCTTATCGCGAAGCTGCTCCACGCGTATATCTCACGGATATGAACTTTGGGCTCGGCGCGCAACTACTCCGCAACAAAGTGACAAGATGAAAAATGATGGGCGAGTAAAAAAAAAAATGATCCTCGAAGATTACGGCATCGAAGTAGCTGCAACGATCATCGAAGAGAGGATAGTAAAATTCGCGTCCGAAAAATATCCAGCTTAGCAGCGGAACCGTAAAAGTAAAATGGGCGCAGCCTAGGATTCGAATCGCGCATCCAACGCGGAGTCGCTGTACACCACTGGTATAGAGCTCAAGGGATAATCCGATATTCCATTGTTGAACAATTTCAATCCTTCAACTTTCAATCCAGTTTGATAAAGTTTGTGCCCGGCACGGGAGCTGCTTCGAGTCTGCTACTACTACTACTACTAGTGGCGTCGGTCTTTTAATCAAGTTGCGCTTGGGCGCGAGAGATCGACACGCACCGCACGCGAGCCGACGACGATGGCGCTACCGGCTTGTATTATATACAATTTGGACCGTAAGCTCGCGCAAGTGTGTATAGTTGCAGTATGTACACAGCGTCGTCCACGAGGAGGGAGGAGGGTATTAATTGTTCGTTTCTGAATAAGGCGGCGGCGGCATTGCCTTTTCATATAGAGGAGAACGCTAATACCCCCGGAGCGGTGTAACTTGTTTATAAACTCGTCGGTGCGCCGCAAACTTCGACGAACGTATTTACTTGAATTAAAGCGGAGTCGGCAGCTTTTTTTGGTCCCGGCTGTCCGCGTATTTTGTTACGGATCCGAGGGCGGATTCTCGAGCTGTAATACGTTGCTCATCGACGCGATTGAAATGTATATTATTCACGCGCGACGAAAGAATCGAATTTTCCATCGATTATATTTCGTTGTATATACGAACTTTGCTGTATTGTCCGGCCGAGCTGCCCTTTGAGCTGGCATGTTATTCGTAAGTTTGCGTCATGGAGTGCGCAACTCTCTCTCTCTCTGGATGTAGTATATTGCACGAGGTCGTACGTCGCGCGGCGAGGCCCTTGGAGCAAGATACCATCTGCTTTGCATACATTAGTCTCTCTCTCTTACTCTCTGTCTATGGCCGCTGCATGATGTCGGTGGCGCCCACCGACGAACCCGCCCTCGCGATATTTTCGACTCTGCCATATTCTACACGCGTGTGTGCGAGTATACGCGCGTTTGAGCTGGCTGCGTGCGTGTTAAAGCTCGTTAACGAGCTTGTTTTTACTTTGGCTGTTTGCGTGAGTGTGCGTATGTATATGCGTATACACGGGGCCATGCCGGCTTGGCCCGGCGCTGCATATTTATGGCTCGTGCAGCAGCAGCAGCAGCAGCAGCAGTGATCAGTGCGTTTATATAGCTTCAAAGCGCGCCTCTTGCACTCTCTCTCCTCGCCCTCTCTATTATGTATTTAATGCGCGCAGCTTATATTCCTCCGGTAATATGTGTGTGTATATATACGGCAACTATATAATGTCTATCGATGACTCTGTATTTCGGCCAAACGTAAATCTGCACGTGTCATGTTTTCCCCGACCGTTGTATATATAGTACGACACGAAATCGTATGTAAATTCGACTTGTTTATCAATTTATTGTACAAGCTTGCAGCCCAGCGAATCGATAAATAGCCGCGATCTCTACGCTTTCATTGCAATTAACAACTTTTTCTATCGCGCGAGCTTTTTTTGTGCGTGTTAATTAAAAAAAAAAAAAAAATTGGGTTTCGATGTAATAAAGACGGCAGTCGATGTATACGTTAGATACAATTGTGCGCCGCTGCACCTGCGGGGCACTGTCTATATACCAGGCGCATTGTCTACCATCTCCGAGCACCTATATAGGCGCATTGAAAACTGCAACTACTCTTTTGTCTCTTGTTATCTCATTGTGACCTGCTGCCATATACAGATACAGACTCGTACGTACGAATCACTCGGTCATGATAATTTCAACAACGAGCTAATTTAAATATCGGATCGTGCCGACTGGCAATCGCGTATAAGCAATGAAAGGGCCTATACATCTACCGCCGAGCAGACATTGTCTTGATTTTCGACAATTATCACGAAAATTCCGGTGCGAACGACTTTCCTCCTCGCGATGCATGCCACTTCCTTGGAAAATTTCATTTCAATGGTAATATCGTTCAGAAAAGTCATGCAGTTGTCTTTTATTTACATCGCTATATTTTTTGGACAGCAAAGTCGAATGTGTTTTTTTTTCAGTTTGTTAGTAATGTAGATCGCTGTCTCAACAAAAAAAGAAAAAGAAGGTAAAAAGTAAAATTCATTTTCTTGCAGCACAATGTATCGCGCCGCTGGGCATGGAGACCGGGGCGATACCGGACGCCGACATAACAGCGAGTTCGAGCTTCGACAGCGGCAACGTCGGCCCTCATCAGGCCCGGTGAGTTACCCCAAGGGCATTTTTATATTACATCGCCCTATCTCTCCTTTTAACTAACTGACTTTTTCTATCCTTTATATACTTTTTCGTTTCTTCTCTCTCGCTCTCTTTTGTTATTACTATGTAGAGCGTCTGCGGGATATTATATTCGATAATAAGGTGAAAAGAATTTTTCGTCGTGATACTCAACACTAGGCGGTTTATTCTGAATTTTTGCCCACGCGTTGCGGTTCGTTTCGAAGTTTGAATTTTAATGGGGCTGATTTTTGCTCGTGAGTCGGCGTAATTACGCTGCATCGATCCGACTCGCTGGCCAGGCGAAGCTTGTCGATATTTGAATAATAAACTACTCTAATTAATTATCGGATACATTAAAAGTATAACAATCATCCACCGGACAAACGCGATATTTTGCATAAAAATTTGTACATGCGTGTAATTTAAGTCGGCCGTAATTTTCTCGTACATTTATTCACTGATACAAGCCATCATGTAGTACGTCGATAATTTGTATTTACTCAAGCTGGTCTCGAAAAGACATTGTTATATGCTGCGCTGTTATAACAGCAGCGCACTCTTTTTGTGTATTTATATAATATGTAAACAAGCCACTAGGTGGCGGACTTGCAAAAACTTGTAACCCACAAATGAAAATGCTTAAAAGTCCATGTAGGCGCGCACTAGTAGAGATTTTACTTTAGAACTTTTTAATTTTGCTTTTCCGAGGGACTCCATTTTTTCACTACGATGGAAAGTTTCTTCATTTTTGGAGGTTTCATCGACGTTGACAACAGTCTTTTCCTCGTCTTTTTTATGGCGCCAGCAAGAGACTCCGCGTCACATAGCAGAATGTCCCAAACTTCCTTCTTGTGAATCATTTATAAGTCGATTGATAGCCCTGAAATAAGTTTGACTCAAGGTTCTAAAGTGTTCATCCACTTCATTATCAACGAAGCTATGTTCGCGAGGAGTTGTTGTCGGGGATTGAAGTCGCCTTGGAGGTGATCCGTTTTCGTAACACGACTTCGCTAACCTAGGAAGTTTTGCTCGTTTCGGCTGGTCAGGTGAAGCATTTCGTCCAGATGAATTTTCTGATTCTGGTGTTTCATCTCGTTGCCGTTTACCTTTTTGGAGCACAGGACCGGTGATTTTCGTTGTCCGCTTTCGATCATCTTGATGTATAAAATTTTTCAGCTTATCTGCATAGAGCGAAAAATCGAGTTTGTAGACGTAGGTCGCAAGGCTCGGACGCTGTAGTAGTTCTTTCACTGTGGTTTCTGTTTTTTCAAACCATTTTGACAAAATCATGTATGGTTGAAAAATATTATCCATGACTTCCTTTGTTATCTCCGATTTTGAAACATTCTGGAGCTTTTTGCTTCCATTGGCATGTGACACATTTAATTCTTTTATTCGGATTCACGATTCAACGTCATCGTACCGACACAGTCCACTAAATCTTCACTACCATAACGAGACTTTTCTCGTAATTGTTATCCGTACGATAACAACATTGATATGCTATAAACAGTCCATAACGCGCATCAAAAGCCAATGCCCGAGCGAGCTGCTGACTAACTGCGACGATCGCGCGCACGACTTGTACTATTTCTATATAAATATTTAATACTCGAGGCATCGATGTATATTTTATGCCAGCGATGCAAAGGTCATTTGCATGCCAAGTAGATATGAATCAAGTAGGCGTGTAAATTAATTCGTTGGCAGAAAGATCGTGAAATAGTCGGGGCCTCTACACGCTTGCAAGTTCCGTATAATATAATACACGTACTGTGCGTGTGTGCAGCGTTAGCTATATATGTGGTGAATAAACGATGGCTTATTAATTACCTCGTTGAATAATTGAAGTCCTCCGAGCCTCGACTCTTCTCTCTCTCTCTCTCTCTCTATGATGGGAGCTTGCCTTGTGTATTATGTACGCGGCGTATGCATATATAGGATCCGGGCGTTGGATTTGCTCGGGTATTACATGCACGGAGCGCGCCCGACGGAGCATTATCCCGAGCCGAGATCATATATTTTGATTACGTCGTCTGGCTCAAATTGAAACTTGTTTTATTTAATGATACATGTCGTGTAAAATTTCCCTCTATACAGGGCCGCCGCCGCTGCTGCACATCCAAAGCGCGCGCGCGGATGCGCACCGAAATGTAATTTTGATGACGAAGCTTTTTACGATAAGCTCCTCTCTCCTCGCCATTCTCTTTCGCGCGCGCGAGAGAGGCTTAGAACAGTGTAAATATCTTAAAAGCAATTTTCGATGTTACATTAAATTTTAACGATACTTTAAATCTTCGTCAGTGGCGAAGTGCATAAAATACACACACACGCGCACGAAGAGAGCACTATAACGGCGAGCAAAAAAAGGCCGATGGAAAATTTAATTGCAAAGCGCGTGTAGTGCAGCAGCACAGAGCTATGGGCTAGTTTGACTTTTTCCGGCCATGGGCTTGGAACAATGGTAATGTTGGCCCTTTTGTAAGAGCATAAAGCTCCGGCAAAAAATCGTTCGAATTATTCGTCGTAATGAAATTTTTTTCCCTATTGGCCGAGCGCGCAGCGCGAAAGAAAATGTTAATTAAAATTTTGTAACCTTGGCCCTCGGTAATGGCAGCAGCCTGCAGGCCGTATAACGTCGAACATGGTACGGCGCGGCGCTTGAAAAAAATAAAACTTTTTTCGACGGCTTTTTGTCGATATATATAGGTACGGATATAGGATAGAGGTAGGTATAAGGTAGCTTTGAAGGCTCGCGCGCAGCACATTCTCGATGAGATAATAATAACGCGCGAGAGATATTTAAAATATTTTTCCCCCGCGGTATATGTGTGCGTAGAGTAGTAGCTGCAAGCCGGGGGATGGAAAAAATCTACCTGGGAATCGCGCGCGTAGCGGCACAGCCGACGAGTAACAATTTGAAATTCCTGCTAATCCCTGGGCATATACGCGTGTTTTCCATCCGTCCGTGGGCAGCTTCGGCAGAGATCGCTCGCTCGCGCGGTTTAGGTATTAATGCAGTGCGTCGCTGTGCGGTCTACCTCGCCGGCTATACATATATATATAGATATGCCATCCCGCGGGATGAGCGCAGGGACTCTCCAACGTCAGCTATACGCGCACGCGTGCCTCCGTGTGTGCACTTGGACGGCCAGAAACAGCTTTCTCTGATATTAATACATTCCATTACCGCGCACAATGACGGGTTTCAATGGCCTCGGCGGCGTCCCCCTCGCAGCGCTAGCAGCAGCAGACGAAGCTCTACCATTACGCACACTAGCCGCGCCACGTTGTACTACGCGTCGGGCTGCTGCAGCGCCAAACTCTCGGGGAGCTTGCATAGAGGAGAGCTTGCGCGCGTGTCTGGCAGCGATCCGTGCGCCTCGATGTCCCGATGATTACACAATGCATCCGCACTCGCTCGTCTAATTTAATAGAGAGATGCTCTCGAGAGCCGGCCAACGCATCGATCGTCCCATACAGTGTAGCGTTGTACGATGATCGCTCGTACACCTATCTCTCTCGCTACTACGTGGCCCCGAGGGTGTCGAGAGAGAGAGAGTGCAGCTTTTTCGGCGCTGCAGCTTTCTTTTTAATTTAGCCAGAGCTGCAATTACGCCCCTCGTGGCGGTACGTTAGTGCCACGATCATCGCACTCTACATTATTATCCGTACGATCATCGTCGTCGCTGCAGCTGGGCTGCGAGCTTCGTGTAATTAATTAAGCAGAAACAAAGCTCGGCGTCGCTCGGCTCTCGGCGTCGCTCGAGAGCCCTGTATATATACAGCGATTATGCAGCCGGCAACGCCTGCGAAGACGCGCGCACGGCTCATCTAGACAACAAACGATATGGCTTAAGCACGCTCGCGCACACACAGACTATATTTCGCGCTGCAACTACTACCACTGAGCACAGAGTACCGTCTCGATAAAGCCTCGGTTCGCGCTCGAGCTTTATATATACGCGCCTGCACGCTTAGACATTCCTTTGCGTAGCTGCGCGCGAGCGAGCTTCGGCTTTGCCTACCGCGTATATCCATATAAGATTCAACGCGAGACGTACACCACTGCAGCATCGCGTCGTGAGTTTCACTTGCTACTTGGAGATCTTTTCATTCTCGCGCGAGCAGCTCGAGCTTTTGTGCACTGTGCGCGCATTCATATATGCTCACCTAGACCCTGCCATTGGTATACTACTGCCACTGCACTCCATAGCTACGTACCAGTACCGTATGCAGATGTAAAGAGATCCCTCCGACTCTTCTTCTTTTTTTTTCTCTATACTCGCGCGATCGAGTTTCCCGATGCGTCTTGTTTTCCGACTCGCTTCCGGAGTTTTCAACTATAACACGCGAGAGAAAAATGCGAAATTCATAAGCGGCGCGTATCGCGCTCGAGTCCTTATAAACAACCGAGTACACCCTCGAGGGCTTCGCGCATATATATAAAAAACAAATTCGCCCGTTTGCATGCGCGGGATCGATACAAGCGGAGCTCTCTCCGGCGTTATATATATGCGCGTGCAGCACATAGTTCGGGAGAGAAAAGGCGCGCGAGGATCTCTTTAAACGGCGTGACATTATTGTTTGGCAAAGTTTCGACGTCTTTTATACATATATCGTACGCAGCGGGGAAAACCTTATATAGGCGAGGGAGGATACGAGAGAGGAGAGTTTGCGAAGCAGTAGCAGTACGAAACGGTTAAAGAGTCGTTCCGACGTTCGGCAGGGCGTCAGTTATCGCGCTAACTTCTTCCTTCTGGCGTTGCGCGCCTTATACGTGACTCTTATTCGCGCGGCTCGACTATGTACTCGAGACTTTGACTCGTCGTCGGTGGCACGAACTCTCGCTCGCGAGCTGCGAGCCAACTTAGCTGTGTGTGTACGTACGTATTGAAACAGACACAGCGCATACCTGTATATAAGCAGTCGTATACGCACGATATAATCTAGCTCCTTCTCACGTTATATCGGCAAAGGTAGAGAGTTTTATCTTACGCACGGCATCGATACACGTAGTAATCGAAGACGATTAAACGAATACTTAATGTGTGTACTTTTCAAAGGCGCGCGCACTGCACATACACACGTGCTCGATTCGCGAGCGTTACGCGCAGGAATTCGTTATGATATTCGTTCGATAAAGCGAAGCCCGAGTTGACGTTCGCACGCGCCGATTGCGCCACGTGGGGGCCCCTTTCTCATAATGATCTCGCGCAATAAAGTATCCAACCTAAACGCCGAGCTGAAACGAGACGTTGATAAAAAAAAATTGATAATAACGTTGGCGTTGCGCGGTCGATTCGCGCGTATCGCGAAAATGTCTCGACCAGTTGTGACTCTGTGCATGCAATTAAAACCCGCGAGTCGAGTGGAAAATTCAAAGTAGCAGAAAAAATAATAAGGATACGCATTACCGCAATTATTAAATTCGCTCGCGCTTGCAAAATTGACCGGTTTACGTGCAAATGATTAGCTCTGAGTATGTAGCGTATCTATAGTCAGGCGTAAATGTGTACTCTCTCTCTCTCTCCCTGGCAAAGTCTACTCGTGCTCGACTTCATCCGCGGTCGATTAAAATTGCATTTATTCATTGACCCTCGCGCGGACGATGCGTTTTTGCGCGGGGGCAGGATATCCACGCGGCCTTTGTTCCCCGGCAAAGGTCCGAGTTCGTCCGCATGTGTTTATACATACAATGCGGCTCTTTTGGGCTCAGCGAGCTGGAAAGGAGTGCGAGCGCGATGGGCCACATATATACACGAGTAAATTGTTGTGTTTTCTGTAAAAGCTCGCGAATGATTGAGATTGCTTCATCGCGAGCGACGCTGCTGTATTATAAACCGGCTTTATTAATTCATTCGTTTGTCAAGTTACTTCACATATGAACAATTATTGAAGTTGACCTTTTTTAATTATATCGTAGCAAAATTCCTGAATTCATATTCTAGGATTAGAGTTTAGTATTTTAATAAAATTTATCGTCATCACAGATACGTTATGTTTGGTTATAAGCTTGTTGGTTTCGCCAACAGATGGAGTACTGTAAACTAGCAAGTACTAAGAATATTTTCGTAGGCTATATAATGCGAATATTGGATACAATGGCATTTCCCATGACTATTAGACATATTGTATAGTCATTTTCCTAACAGTGATTGAGCACACAGTACTCCCTTTTAATATTGTCGCATATTCCATCAACATCGCGACTTGGTCTTTCCTTGCGTTCAATCGAGGATCTATAACACGAATGTACTCGCGATCGCCTATAAAATGGTCGATATTTGTCAAGTTGTCAACGACGGTCAAGTGCAAAAAGACAGACGCGCGAAAAGCAATTGCGATATCTACACGCGAACATCGGTCTACTGCGCACCGACTGAAATTGAAACTCGCTTTGCATCTGTAATGGAACTTGTATCGCGCGTATACATCGTGCCGTATGAGTAATTTGCAGTCCACTCAACGAGTAGTACGAGCTCGAGGCAGCGGCGATGATTTCCACTTTTTTTTTTTTTTTGTTTTACCGAAGTGCGAGACGCGATACAGGTGCGAAATCGAGATGTAGATTTAACGCATTGCTAATGGGATTTTATTTTTCATTATTACAAATGATTCAGTGTCGCAGCTGTCGTGTTATGCATATGCATCATTCGCCACAATATTACATGCGCACACGCGTAGTATGCGCAGTGCGTATACGTATTGCGCGTGTAAAATCTTTGCATAAAATACATATTCATTACGGGACGTTAGGCGTGTGCAGCAGCAGCAGCTCTCGAAGAAGATAATCGTTATTTTGGCCGAGAAAAAGTGGATTGAAAGGGTCCGATGATGCTTTACGATGTGTAATAATCGTCCCTCGGCGCGCGCCCGCTCGCGATACATCATTTCCCCGTAACATAATTAAGCCTAATGGGTCGGCTGCGCAGTGGCTGCAGCGCAGCGCCGATGATAATTTTCCTCTCTTTTTATTCATTCTCCTGTCTTGTCGATCAACAGATTGCGCACGGAGAATCACGGCGGCGCCTGGTGCCCCAAGGACCAAGTGACAAACGATCCGCGCGAGTGGCTGGAAATTGATCTTCACACGGTTCACTTGATCACCGCCACGGGCACCCAGGGCCGCTTCGGCAACGGAGTCGGCGTCGAGTACGCCGAGGCCTACATGCTCGAGTACTGGCGGCCCAAGCTCGGCAAGTGGGTCCGCTACAAGGACATCAAAGGCCAGGAGGTACGTACCAATATTTTTCGTTTTTCAATTTTTCAATTGCGCAACGGTGTAGCGACCGATAGAATTCGCGAACTCTGTATCGATGATAAGCAAATGAAAGAGAAAGAGGGAGTATCATCGGACGAGCATCGCGCGTAGCAAATATTGACGTGTTCATCCAATTGGAGTCCTCCTCCTCTTTGGGCTGCGCGAGAGGCATCGACGTGAAACGAATCGCGCGGATACATATAGATAATGTATGTGCGGCCATTAGGCCCTCGCGATCAACTATATATACGCGCAGTTTGCCGATGTATTAATCTCTCTCTGACGCTCCATTAGTTGCGTCGAGCCGGAGCAGCAGTTGCCACGCAACAAATATATGTAATATATACCAAAGGCGCTTCTTTGATAAAGCGTTTTCTCGGCTGCGCACATCTCGCTCGTCCCGTTCCTTTATATATACGTGTTTATGATCGCTAATCCGCCAGCGAGCTGTGCGCTATAATAATATATAAGTACATTTAGAGGGACTATTTCTATATTCCGACTGCACGCGAAATCTCGTTATGCAGGCGTCGCGAACTGTGACGAGCCTAAATAGGAAATCGACCGTGTGTATATCGTACGGTACATTTTAGTTTGTACACGCGTGATCGGCATATGCGCTCGAGTTGATCGTACAGCCGAAGAATCTCATAATACACTTATAGTTCGTTGAATTCCGCTTGTTTGTTGTGACACACTGACGCTCCGCAGACTCTCGGATTAAAGTACATCGGACGCGTGGCAAGCAGTGACTTCATCCATTGCACTCGATCCGCGCTGCGATTTGGCCCGCATTTTCCTACGTAGTCGTTAATATCATTGCCCTGGTAATCAAAATATCGTCGAGCAAAATAAGACAAAAATCGACGCGCGAGCAGCATCCGTTACGGGCGGCAAATATACAATTTGATCCGCCGTTGGCAAATCTCTTTATCGTCGAGCGGCTCATCGCCGCGCGCGCGCTCAAGACATTTATTCCTCTCTCTCTCTCGTGCACCAGCAGCGCCAGCAGTGTATATAAGGAGGGTCGGCGGTGGTGGCTGGCTGGCTGGCTGGCGGCTCGTTGCATAAATAAATGTGATGCTAAACGAGCAACGATTTCCATTAAATGATAATTTAGTCAGAAGAGAGAGAGAGCGAGAAAGAGAGTGCAGCAGGAGGGAGAGAGAGAGAGAAATGGCTCTTAGGGTGCGACTCCTATATCTATGTATACTATTCTCGGTGCAGTTGCTCGCTTCTCATTTACTCGGGTAATATATATCGCTTGCGCGCCTTGCTCCGAGTCATGGTATACTATGCTCGCTCGCTATGGATCTAGGTGAATTCTGCTACCTCTTGACCTGATTTTCCATCCCCAGCAGCAGCAGCAGCCCCAACAGTTGTTTCTTTGAGCCATTTGAACTCTGCGCTTACGCGTGTGTAGCGAGTTGCGTATACAGCTCTGCAGTATTTCTCACTTATGTCTTTGCCTGCAGCTCAGAAGAGAATCTTGCGTATATCTCGGGAGAGAGAAAATCCACGCACACCCGAGCTGCGTGTGTACATATGCCAGGCAGGTAGACTCATATAGCGCTCGAACGATTCGAACGACGAATTATGCATATTATATAGCAGAGTTTATGTACCCACTTTGAAGTTGCGCCTGGCTATTGTGTAAGCGAGCTTACGAGTGTGCTGCATCGACGAGTAGCTCTGCACTTGCATCAACACCCTTTTTTTTTTATATATATACGGAATACGGATCGCAACTCTCGAACGTCAGCGCGAAGAAACGCTTGACGCACGTGTGTACACTCGATGGCGGCTGAGCTGAATAAACAATTGATTTTTGCAGCCCAAGATCTGGAGTTTTAGAAACTTATATACATAAAGCAACTCTATATAAATATAGCTATATGGATCGGTCTCTCTATCTCTCTGTTGGTCCACGCTTTATATTCCGTGAATGTTTCACGCTGCTACATGTATAATACCGCCTCGATGCTCTCCAGCTTTTTTTCTCTATATACTTATCGATTAGTCAAACTCGATCGTGGAATTCATGAGATTCGTCCCGCCCGCCGGAAAAATGTTTTCTCTGCGATTCTGTTATCCAACTCACTTTCTCGCTCTCTCTCTCTCTCTCTCTCTCTGTATTTGTAAAAGTGCCAGAAACAAGCGCGCACCTCTCGCTTGCGTTATCCATACCGTCTCGCTCGCGCATACATATCTATATACGTAGACTACTACCTTCGCTTCGGAGGAACGCGCGCGATTTATCATTGCTCTCACGTAATCTCCCTAAAGCTCCTTTTACACAGGTCATTTCCCTCTCTCTCTCTCTCTTCTCTTCTCTCATTCTCTCTGGCTGCTTGCGTGAGTTTCACGCTTTCTTTGCGAACACATACCGCGGTGAAGAAGAGCGTAAAGCTCGAAAGCTCTGCCTGCTCTACTTGTGTCAGTCAGGCCGTTACGCAACTATCTCGATCAATTTTATCTTAATAATTTTTTTTCTTCTTACTTTTATATTTGGCCCTTTTCAATGTGAATAATATGCCTTTGAAGGGGAAAAAGGATATCAGAACTGTTTTTGCTGTATGGGTGTAAAAAGCTCGAGTGACGAGATCGATTTTCAAAGTCCCGAAATCAAAGTCCTGTGACAACTCGTCGATGAGATTGATACAGCCGACGCCCATTTTCATTTACATGCGTTCTGTTGCACCAAATATCCGCGATCTCGTTGACCAGTGCGAAGAGAGAAATTTAAATAAGAATCGATGATATACGGTGGCATTTTGAGCTCCATCGATCTTTCGGCTGAAGCTCAAAAGATTAATTAAATTTTCGTAAGTTATTAAAATTCATTCGAGTAGCGAGTATTCGCGCTGTAGGTTATATTCGTAATGTACCTTCGCACGATGCAGGTAACTACTCGCGAGGCCTTTCTCGCTTTCTTGGCTCTTATTATACTCATATACTTATGCACGCAAATAAAGGAAAAAACACGGAATTTCTCATTAGGCGGCGCGTAATTTACTCAGCATTCTTTTCATCTTTACTCTTTTTAACTCTTTTTAACTTCCTACATACGATCCGCTGCTCGTTCGAGAGTTCGAGGCGCGCGACATCATCACTCATTCGCGCGAACGCAGAGAGATGGAAATTTTCAGCTCGCCCTGAACCTTAATTGCTTTCGAGAATATCTCATTAACGCGCCAATGAATACCGATATTTAATGCGCATATCTATGTGAAATTATTACGAAATTGACAACGGTATAAGCAAGTGGCAGTGGACATAATGTGCCTGAAAAATTATTATTTCAACTTTTTTTTCTTGTTTTGCCTAATTATAATAGACAAGCGAAACTTTTGACGGCAATTATAAAAATCTTGCAACTGCGAGAAACTCGATTACACGAGCTATGAAAAGCGTGAAATTTGCATTCTCAAGTGCGGAAGGAAAAGATAGCGAGGTAATTATGCAAATTTCAAAAGATCTACTATCAATTTCGTTAGAGTAATATTTTTAAAAAACAATTGCAAAGTGCTGTCAAAGAAAATAAATATTTAGAAAGATACGTTGTTTTAAAAGCTTGACAAATGTCACAATAAAACTCTGTAGATACATTTTTATCTTAAAATAGGAATAATTGTCTGCAAACTTGCTTTTGATTCGTACAGTAATAGCAAACGAATATTCTTATTTGATTCCTTGAGAATACACACAATTCATAAGCTATATTTATCGAAAAATCCTATTCACATTCTACGGACTTTTACGTAATCGATCGCCGAGAGCACCTTCACCTCTGCGCATTCCTCAGCGAAGAAAAATGTCTCTATTCGTGGATCGATTGCGATGCCGAGGCGCTGCAAAGTATTTAAGAAAAAAAATATTGCACTTATAATTGACATGATTTACGAATTTCTCCTTTTTACGGCTTTGTTAGCGTCAATCATTTGTGCCGCGCGGCTGTGCAGCACGATCGTTACCCAGATTTATGCATAATAAGTCGATGTCTAAAGATAGGCCAATCGAAGCTCGGCCGCTCGAGCTGCACTCGTTCGAGGCACTACTGCGTACCGAGCACGTGGAAGGAAGGCTGTAAACGTGTTTTTTGATCGCGGGAGAGCTTATATTATGCTAGGGAAGCATAGAGCTACTTCTGCGTCGGTCGCATATCCATTTAGAATATGTTTACTAATAATCATAACGTCAAGTTATATGGAGTGTTTGAATTTTTATCCCCAACTTTATTGATATATCATTACGCGCGGCTTAATTATACAGCTGGAGCTGCAACTTTCAGCGGATATAACGTTATACATAGACCGCCACATAGGTTAGCGCGAGAGAGAGAAAAGCCGACTCGACAGCCGATGGCTGGCAGCAAAGCGCGTCGAGAGCTGCACTTGTTTTTCCAGCAAACTTTATAACTTAATCGCAAACTTCGACACGAAGTTCAACATGTAGTTGATAATTTTATTTATGTTACGTATTGTAAACTGAGCTACGTTATATACACGGCGTACGTATTTTAGCCAGGGCCGCGTCCATCGAGAAGCCCGCAACAATTGGAGCGAGCTTCTCCGCTTATTTTTTTATGACGTACAAATACATAATTTATAGAAAGATTCCGAAAGTCGCGCCGAAAGTTGACGAGCTGCTGCCGAGCTCTTTCCGAAATATCATGTAAAAAGTCGTCGTCTGTTTCGTTGCGAACGAGCGTTATATATTATTGACGACCGAGACGTGGGACTGTAACAGCAGAAGCCGGCTTAATTACCGAGGCGACGACGCGGCTTCTCTTTGAGTGAGTCGTCTACACCCACGCAGCGCAGCCTCGCGCTATCGCGCCGAGAGCATCAGCAGCAGCAGCAGCATCAACAGTAGTGCAGTGCCGTTTGACGCGTGTGTCTTACCGGCGCGAAACGAATACGAACTTTCGACGACAGCTCGGCTCGACTCTGCTTCCATTCGCTGAACTCGTATATTCATGATATTATTATATAGGCTTTGCTAAGCGCAGTTGCATATATAAGCCCCGTAAAGCAGTCGGGGGCTCATTGATTTCGTCTATTTTTTGAGCGCTGAAAAATCAACGAGCTGCGCGAGCATAAATTCGAGTGACCACTGCGATTAATAATGCTTAAGTTAAGTCATAACAGAATCAAATTGTACGAGCGAAACACGCCGCGAGGAAAGTCGAGCCCTCTCGTGCCACGACGATTCATCTTCGTCATTTCACGCGCTGCGAGGAGCGGACCGAAGGCCAGTTGCGATGCGTATACGCGTGTCGCACACCGCACTGCTCGCATTATGTGCGTATTATACATTCGTGCGTACGCGCGTGTGTCCCGGATGGATTAAACGCAGTCGAGTCTTTCCGGGAACGCAATGCACAGGCGCGGATTCGAATTCGCTTATAATATATATGGTTATGGTGTGGCACCGGATGCGCGCGAGCGTGGCGTAACCAAAAATCCCTCCGCAAGCGTCAAAACAGTCAAAATCCACCAACATGTGCCGCGAAATATACATGCATACGAGATTTTTATTTTTAGATTTCGACTGCACTTGCTGCCGCTGCTGCGCTACGTGCAATAATGCTGGCGCGTGAGCGCGCGCCTTTAATATGCCCGTCTCTGTGTGTGCAATAAAAGTACGGAGGCTCGCGCGTGACTCAATTTTGAATGACTGCAGCACCAAGTTGAAAATTTACGTATCGGAGAAATAGTTTCATTTTTGACAGCTCTACGCTGTAACTACGAGAGGGTTAAATTTTAAATGCAAATAAGGAATTGCTTGTGTACACGAAAGCATAATTTCACGAAAACAAAAAACCTATCGAAAAATTGGTTGAGTCTTCAGTGTATTTCAGGACTAATTGAGTGAACGATATAAGTTGTTGAGATTGAAAGAAGCAACTATGAAATTCTCGGCGTGACGCTACCGAGATCAGTTCATGAACCCTCGAGTGTTTAAAATTTATTTTTTGAATCAATAAGCAGCTGCATAAAAACAGCTGCGCGATGTGAAACTTATTTGTGATTTTTGGTAAATGAAAGTATCCACGCGAATCAATGATTAAAATGTATTTTTTAAATTTATTCGTTTGAATAATGTAGAGAATCGGAAAAAATTAATAACAAAATAGATGTTTCACATCAAAAAACAAAAAACTACTTCAAATTTGCTGATTGTCATTATGAACTTTAGCCTTCCAAGCTGACAAGCAAATATTATATAAATCTTGGTTCATCAGCGAATCGATGATAATGTCACAGCAAAGAATCGGCAGTCGATAGTGTATTAATTCCAAGAAAAGAACCAGTGCCCAGCAACGGAAAAATCTTCTCGACATAATCTCACAAAGATGCAAAGTACAAAACTTTTTAAATTTTAGGTGTAGTAGACGTAAAAGTGTGTTCATTTTCAACGCCGCTAGGTGGCGCCGACTCTAGGCGTCGCTCCCGCAAATGTAAAAGCAGAGATGCTTGTATAAGCCACTGTTTTCACTTGACTCCTTATTGTAGAATGGGGGTCTTCGTTATTTACACCGGTCTCCCAGTCATGCGCCCATCGATTGAGCATTTTTAGGACTAGAAAAAATTGTATCCAATGCCTTTGGTTGCAAACAAGTGATCGTTGAATCCGGGTGGTCGGATCCTGTATAATACCTGAATTAGTCTTAACGATACATTCTGACTTTTGTATATTATCCGTTGCCTTCTTCAATTTCGAACCTGAAATTGAACATTTAACGTAAAATGCTGTTCCCATTAACTTTTGAAACGTATTGTTTTATGCTCTAGACGCGAAAGTTTCCGCGTATCTTGCCGGTTTGGTGGCGCTGATGAGTTCGCATGTGCCGTGTAGCATTATTCGATTAATCGTATACCGTATGCCTGCAGTTACCGACAATTATTTGATTCGCAACCCACGAATAATTCTTGAACGAATCTCAGCAGTGAAAACAGACAAAGATTACGAGAAATGTAAAAACGCCAATTGTCGAGTTGATTAATTTTAAAGCGACATCAGTTCACCAGTGCTCAATCATTTTATACGCGACATTCGTACAATTTTCGAACGCATAGAAGAATCCAACTTAGAAACAAACAACGAAAAATATCGACGAGTAAATTGTAATAAAATAGCGCCGATTGTCGAGTCAATTGATTTTGAATCGGCACAAGCTCACAGCGGCAAAGAAATAAAATGTTGAATTCTCTTGATTCGAACAGTGCCGAACTAAAAATAAAGTACATTGTTAATAATTTCGACGTCAGTTTGACGTTGAGCATCAGCGTCAACAGCCTTAATTCAACGTCGCAGCTGCAATATCGGCTGAAAATTTGTCTCGTCTCGCGTACGCGCGTCGTACTCGATTAGGCGCACGTCTCAAAATGTCCAAAATGAAAAAAGAAACAATGGCTCCGGCATAGAAGGAGTTATTTATCAAAGCCGCATCGTCTCATCGAACACGCAGACTTACCCCCGCACGTCATTCACGCGTAATCTTCATCGGACGCGACGCGAAAAAAGAAACAACGAGCAGCCCTCGAAAGAAATAACAAGGCAGACGCGCTCGCACACGCATCAGTTTTACGGTGAAGTGACGCGCGCACCTCGGCCGAGATAAGCCCCGTATAAGCTCGGGTCGGGCGCGCGTTCGGTTGCGCCTCCGTAGTACGTCGCGCGTTTTCTTGTAAAATATATTATACATACGCGCGCGCGCATACATGTGTAATACAGCTGCAAGTACGGGCAAGAGCGAGTGCATAATGTACGAGCGACGGCTGAGAGATTAGCGCTGACTGCTGCTGAATTTTCGATGCTCGCTCGTCCAACTACTACTCGCTTGATGCATGCTACAAGTAGCATAAAAAGTGCCTGTGCGCTCGAGCTTTTTGGGAAAATTAACACTCACGCGCGCGCAACTTGGTTAATATTTACTTCCTCCTGCGGCCGTTATGGCCAACTGCTGCTGCTGCTGCTGTGCATGCCACAGCCAGCACATATACCAGAGTCTATTTATAATAATATTTATCTTGGTTCGGAGCGTTTCGCGCTGCTTTCGCGCCAGTTCAAATCGTACATTTAATGCCACGATACGGGAATATTAGCCTTGATTACTCGGCTGCTTGTTTTTCGAATGAACGCGGTCAGTCGTGTGGCCGAGCGCTATGTGAGCTCGCTCCTTCGTTAATTGTGCCAAGCGCATATATTATTCCCAATGTATACCTGTAATACACATCCATTCAATATGTACGCGTGTGTATTGGCCTCATTAATTAGAAACTCGCAGTGGCCGCGTGCGGCAATTAATTAATAATGAAACAATCATATCGCATGTCTCAATTGTGCTATCGCGCGAAATGAACATATTTTTCACCCTTCCGTTCTGAATGATATAGAAATTGGAAACGAATTATGTATCGATAACATATATTTTGGATGAGGAAAATAGAAAAGCACCATATAAGCCACGAAACAGCGCAACGTATTGACTAAGCATAATTAATGATAGCCGATGGATTTACCGATCGTTCATCCGCGAGAAAACTCGGCGCATAAATGTAAGCATGTCCAATCGCAAATTGATTTCTCGCTTTATTTTTTACGGACTCGACGCGAGGGTAAAGATTTCAAAGTAAATCACACGCAATGGAAAATTCAATCAAAAGTTAATCCGCAGCGACGTTCTTTGCTCGCAAAAAGCCGAGAAATGCGCCGTATCATAAACCAAAGCCCCGAAGCCAAAGCTTAATATCCGTTTGGCAAAACGCGGACCTTCGAGAGACTGCATAGATCTTCGGCAAATAGGCTATGCGAGGCATGCGTTGAATTTCAAAGAGGCGCATGTGCACGTACGGTAAAAGACTTTGGTGTCAGAGAAGCAAAACGGGAGAGGGGCACTCGCTGTCACCTTTAGCCAGCTCGAAAGCCCGAGCATATTTGTAATGAAAAATTGATGATATTTTTGCAGGCATTGGAAATTGCATAGGCGCGCGCGCGTAGTAGCGATTAATCCACGATCGGAGCGCGTGACACGCCACACGGGGTAAAAGTTGAAATTTAGGATGACTGGAGAGAATCATTCATACCGCGTGGCGTAAGCAAAGCTGTTGATTCACGAAAAGTATAGCGCCGATAGCCCATAGAGAGGGTGAATTGTTGACGAATAAAGCCGAGCACAAAGTATTTCGCCGCCTGTATTCCTTGGCGTTGGACAATTTTGCGCTTCGACGCGCGTCGCCCGCACGATGTATACAATTTTTTTTTCTGTCTCTCCGCGTCTATTGTCCCTCGACAAAAAAAAGTGTCTGCTCACTTTACCCAAAAAGAGAGAGAGGACGTAACGTGGCAGTGAAATACATTGGAGAATGATTGATTTTCTATATTCACATAATATCGTAACCTGTGTCGTCGAACTAATTAATTCTCATTTGTTACACAGGTGATTAAGGGCAACGACAACACGTATCTGGAAGCGAAGCACGAGCTTGATCCGCCGATATGGGCCAGCAAGGTGCGCTTCCTGCCCTACGACTCGCACATGCGCACGGTCTGCATGCGAGTCGAGCTCTACGGCTGCTATTGGAGCGGTGAGTGCAATTGATTCGTAGCATTATCGAATATCGAAGTGAAAATAATCCACCGACTTTTTGCTCTCGTAATTTATACAAAACGAAAAAATTGACGTCGTATATCGACATAGCCTTACATTCGCGATTCGCTGCTCTGGGAAAAATGTCATATTTTCGATAATCCACTCTCTTACACGATCTACAGCAGACACATACAACAATGTAACTTCCACTTGAACTTCCATTTCGAAAATTCCAATAGTCTGCATATCGTACATATTATAAGGCATTGAATGTGAAAAATGGCTGCTCCACAGATGGCATAGTTTCGTACTCGATGCCGCAGGGCGAGAAGCGCGGCGCCGACTGGGAGTTCTTCGACGCGACCTACGACGGCCTCTGGGACGGCGAGCTGCGCCGGGGCCTGGGCCAGCTGACCGACGGCCGAGCCGGCCCCGACAACTTCAAGTTCGGCTTCCACACGCACGAGCGCGGCAAGGGCTGGGTCGGCTGGCGCAACGACACGAGGAACGGCCAGCCCGTCGAGATCAAGTTCGAGTTCGATCGCGTCCGAGAGTTCTCGGCCCTGCACATCGTCTGCAGCAATCAGTTCAGCAAAGACATCAAGGTGAGTCGCTCTTTTTTGTACTTGATATCGAATGTCGCGTGGGCGAACAGTGGATTCGCAGAAATGACATTAGGCGACGCGCGCAAGAGCATAAACGCGAATCAGCCATTTACAGTTGGAGATGATAATCGCTCAAGGCATTGTGTTTCCTAGAGAGCATACTCGTTTCTGGCAATAGGCTGGACATTTGAATATTCAAGTCATGATTTCCATGGGCACGTGAACGTCATTGATATTGCGGACAAATATGTGCCTGGAATGGTGCGCGTATAATGGCTAGATATAAGGGCCTAATTAAGCAAAGTCGTTGGATTTTATTCGCTGCCCATTGCACATTATGCAGTCGTAATGCATTTGAATATTACCTATTGATTAAAAAAAAAGCAATCGAGAGAAGAACAAATCGTTGAAATGGTTTTTTCGCATATCATGTTTGCCGGATTCCCGAAATCCTTCCTTTGATACTAGGGATGTAGCCCTCTCTATATAGGCCGCCCGAGCGCACCGAGTGTAACACCAAATATCGCTGCCAATTCATTGGCAAATAACTTCCTTGTAAAAAAAATTATCGCTCCAATTTAATCGTAAATGCTAAAAGCAATTATTCGAACTTAGACCCTGCAAATAAAAAACTAAAACTTCTTCCTCACGATGTAATTTTTAAAATAATCTATGAATACTATCGTTTTCTATCTAGAATTTATGCTTGCCTACTCATCTTTCAAAATCGTACCTCAAATTAAAAAACAATAAATAAAAAAAATCCAACCCAATGCAAGAAACTAATATTATTCCAAAAAATAAAGACAAATCCTTTTTTTTCTTCGCCGTGTAATTTTTAAAATAATTGATAAATCCTAACGTTTTTGATCTAAAATTAAAGGTTGGCTGCTCGTCTATCAAAATTAACACTTCACCCTGACAAACATCAATAAAAAAAATTTTTTCAAATAAATTTAGGAAAATAAAAGAAGAAACATCGTAATAGCTTTTTAAATATTAACAGATCGAAATAAAACTTTTCCGGGCTTCATTCTTGCACACACATAAATACAGGCATCAGTCACAAATTCTGTCTAGTGTTATAACTAATTGTAGTTATTTAATCAATTGTTCAGACCTTGAGCTTTACCTCAAATAGTCTAGGAATTCATTTTTGCTATATTCGAAACTGTTGCTTATAAGTACGTTGGAATAATAGATGGAACACGTCGTGTATATGTCTGCTATGTATATGCGCATGGCGTATATGAGTTGTGTCGGCGCGGCTTCTATTGTAGGGCCCGGCACAGAGGCGTGTTATTGTAGTAGCCGCGGTGTAGCGTGGGTGTATGACTGTTGGAGAAAGTGACTTGTGTGCGTCTGCTATGTATATGCGCACGGCGTATATGAGTTGTGTCGGCGCGGGCTTTTACCTGTAACTGCGCATGTCCGGCGCTCCTCGTACTTTTTTAACCTTCGCCCATGTGCTCTGTATATTTTTTTCCGATCGTATAGAGTACGTACGCGTTTGTTCTAACTTGCGAGTGATTCAGTGAAAAAAATTGATTTATTCTTTAATTTCGACGAGTGATTCAACGACAACGACTTCAAACATGCACCAGCTCGCGCGCAAAGTTTGCTTCGAAAAATTGAAGAACTTGAAGGAAAAAGTCAAGTGGGAGATCGACCAAGAGCGTCGTACATTTTACCTTGAATTCGGCCATTTGATCAGAAATTGGAGGGGCAAACTTCCCAACCTCCGTAATATCTTCCTGCTCGAAGAAATCGAGCGTCTTCTCGTGGAAACAATGTCATGGTTCAGGCGGGATGATCTGGGAAAGATAATCGTCGAGTTCGTGTCTCGCAGCGGCTACAAAGACAAGCCCGACCTCGGTCAAGACGGTAAGCCATCGTCGCGTCGCACCACAGCAGTGCATTTGGCAGCTGGAAACTGGGGCTTTAACAGAGAAAAAGTGATCCGCGAGCTTTTTAAAATCTACGATAGATTTGACGTGAACTACACCGACGAGAATGGATGGACGCATTTCCACGCGGCCTGCGAGTTCGGCTGTTGGGACGCCATCGAGAAATTTCTCGAGCACGGCCTGGATCCCAATCTCTTCCTCGCGAAATCAACGGGCGATTCGCTGCTGCACTTGGCTCTGAGGCAAGATCGCACGGACGTATTCAAATTGTTGCTGAAAAGAGGCGCCAATCCTAATTTGGCTAATAACGATCGAAAGACGGTTCTGCACTCGATTTGCCAGATAATGTGGGTCGATAATTGCGGAGAGAGACTCAATACTTATCGCGACGATGACGCAACGGCGAGGGCGTTGTTCGAGCTCAGCGACGAAAAATTTCACCCGGTGCAAGTTAATGCTCAGGACAATCACGGCGAAACGCCATTGCACTTGGCTGTGATCCAAATTCGTCCCGGAGACAGCTCCAGCTTGGTCGCATATCTGCGGAGAAGAGGCGCCAATCTGAATGTAACCAATATGCTTGGATGCACTGCTCTGCACTATGCGAGTAGGAGAGGCGAAAGCTCCTTGGCGGAGTTGTTTCTCGATGTCGACGGAGAGATCGATCGGACGGTCCAGGTCGACGCTCGAGACAATAATGGTTGGACACCGCTGCACGTGGCTGCGTTTTGGGACTCGAAAGTCGCGATCGATACACTGCTGCGAAGAGGCGCCGATGCAAATTTGCCGAATATAGATGGATTAACTCCTTTGCACATTATGTGCCTGTACCAATACACCAGCGACTTGGCGGAGTTATTTTTCAAGATCAATGACGATATCCAGCAGAAGGTGCACGTCGATGCTCAGGACGAAAAGGGTGACACACCGCTGCACTTGGCTTTGAAAGGGAGAAAGGAGAAGGTAGCCGAGTTGCTGCTGAGGAGAGGTGCGGATCCTAATCTCGCCAATGCAGAGGGATCGACAGCTCTGCATATTCTTTGCAAGTATGACTACGATGTCTACGATTTGATGGTGTTATTATTCAAAATAAGCAAAGAAAAACATCAGCCAGTGCAGATCGACGCGCAGGACAATTTGGGTCGGACGCCGCTGCATTGGGCCGTTACGAGTCTTTTACCAGACGTGGTAAAGATACTTCTGGACAACGGCGCCAATTTGTCCAGCTTCGTTTTTCCCATTGAGAGTCATTTCGAAAAGCGCATACAGGACTATCGACGCGAAAGAATCGAATTAAAATTGAGAGTGACAGCCGGTGCTCTGGGCGTCGTCGAAAATCTCGAGAAAGGAGGATTTGAACTATACCTTAGCGATGCCATTACGATCATGAATCTATTTGACAAGCAAAAAGTGTTCGAGAAATCGGCGGATCTTGCAAAACATTGGTGCGAGTTTGAAAAAAAAGCGAAGGATATAATGGTAAAGCCGTGCCTGTCGCTCTGTGACCTGGTTCGATTACGACCCAAACGGGCGACCAAACAACTCACGTATTCCGAGTACTTGAAGTTCTTAAAAAAGTATCGATATGATAATCTCAATCAGTCAATCGAGACTTGTGCCGGGCACCTGTGCGAGACGATGTCGAGAAAATTTTTCAAGGACTGGGCCCTGGATTCTTTTATGGAGTTGACGCATTGTCGTCTGCCGATTCTCACTTCTGCAATGATCATCGAGGAGCTTTCTAACGAAGATTTGCGTAATATTTGTTTGGCAGCTGCACGCTTGAACTCGTAATGGCTCGGGTAATTTTCGTAACCATTACTTCCAATAATGGGTTTCGAAAGCAGCGCGCTCTGCAATCGTCTGCGCATATCTCCTGGCCTAATTCGCCAAATTTTCAAGGAAAAATTTTACCATTGAACAATTTATTTATAGACATATTATAACCGACTCAATAAAGCCCTTTTCAAAATTGAACACGAATTTTTAATGACTATTCCACATTATTCAATCAAACTCATGAAAGCCTCGATTGGGTTGAGAAATTACAAACTGCTGCCAATTTATTGACAAAAGGGCTTCCTCATAAAAAATTATATTAACGAAAGGGTTTGGTTATTAAAGGGAAATTTCTTATTTCATTGTTGAATTTTGATTCAACGACATGTTTGAAATATAAACTCACAATAAAATATGTAAACCAAATTGTTCTACGAGGTCTGGTTCAAAATCTCGTTTTCGAGCCTATCACAGAGCTTCCTCTATGAGAAAGCAAAAAGAGAAGAGTTATAAGCTGGTCGTTGGGTGTGCGCGCAGTGCACTATGTATGAAATCAAGAGAGCCGTACGGCGAGCAGATGAAAATAAAAAGAAGAGAGAGGAGAAAAAGGGCGAATGCGAAAAAGCTGAAGAATTCACGGAGAAGCCGATCGTTAAACTTGCGATATCGCTTGTTCTGCTCAGTTTGGCATAAAGCGCCCCTTCCCTCTCTCTCTCTTTCAATTCCTCGCGACTTGAATACCAAACCAGAACTTGGTTGCTACTGGCTGGGCGCGAGTAGTAGCAGCGAGTAGTCTAGAGAGAGAGAGCGAGAGAGATCAACAGGCCGTAGCTGCTATCCCCTTAGCGCCCGATCTTATCTTTCGTGCCTCGGCTCCGGAGAGTGAGAGAAAGAGAGGCTTTTTCGTGCATGATCGCGCTCGGCGCTGCTACTGCTGTGCATGCGCGGCAGTTTTTTTTTCTTTTTTTTCGGTTTTTTTTTTGCTCCTTTTCGTTCCGCACGCGCAAGACGCTCTATTTGTACAAGAGGAGAAGTAGCAATGCGTATAAATAGATACGCGCTCGGGCTGCGGAATGCAAAATTTAATTGGATGCATTGCTTATATGTATATATATCGGCTACGCTGTGCCGCGCGCGCGCGAGAAGAGATTCCGATTTCGTGAGCAATTTGCGCGCCGGTTATTACCTTTTTTTCACTTGTTCCCGGGCCGTGCGTGTGCTTCTTTTTTTCTTTCGCGCCTCGAGCTCGATCGCGCGAGTGCCTGATTGAAAATTTTTTTTTGCTGTATACGGCTTGTGTGCTACATCGACGCCCGCAGTGTGCCGAGTGCAGCGAATCATTTGAAAACGACGTGTCTCGCTTCATCGCGTGTGAGACTGCGATAAAATAAAATTTTGATAAGCTGGACTCGAAAAGTTGAAAAAAAAAAATTATGCCATCTTCGCGACTTGGACTTCTTACGCCGAGCGATATTAAAATATGGAAATTAATTAAAAACTTCACTGCTGTAGATTCTTGAATAATTCCATCTTGGCCAAGAAAATTCAAGCGAATTCGGATCTCTTTTTCTCTTTTTCGAAATACTTTTATTATATACTCAACTTTATTGCTTTTTTTCTTTCGCTGAGCTTCAACATTTCGTCAATTTTTCGCTCCCTTCTTCTTTTAAGTGACACTTTGGTTACTGTATTATTGGTTATCTGTTAATGTTTATAATTGGAACTACCGTAAATGTTGAAAATTATAGTTCTCAGACAAATTTTCAAAAATGGCGTTATGGAGAAAATTTTAAAATTATATCATATGAAAATGCGAAATAATGCAGAGCATTGAACAGATATTCCTTATCATTTGTAAAAGTTGAAAAATTTGACTTGTAGGCCGAAGAGATCGAACTAAACTATTCATCGAAAAAATGCAAAGAACCTTGGCACAAATTCTTACAGTAATCTTTACATTCCTAGCGAAATATTTTTTCTCGAAACTTGAGGGAAAGAAAAAATGAAGAGAGCAGTACCAGACGAAAACGCAAGTAAAATCGATAAAGTTTTCAGGCATTTACAATTCAATATATACCTACCTACGTACGATTAGGTTTGAGTGGATGAACTCGCAGCGCTGCATGTGCTCTCGCCCCCTCGTAGACTTTTTTCGCGATTGACTGACGCTTAGATCCTTTCCTCCTATGCGCAGCGCGTATTTATATATCAACTTCCACTCTGAATGCATACGTGAATTTTATGAAGAAAAAAGTGCGCTTACTCGATGCACCTTATTATATACCATTGAAATATGTTCTCGTGATTTGAATGGATTTTTATTCAGTTTGTACTTTATCCAGATGCATGTAAGGTCTTTTTAACGTTCACATTTTTTTTAAATATATCAAAAACGATACGGTACATGGTCGTTAAGCTGTGTTAGATCTTATTTTATCAAAAATTCATTGTATTTTCCCCCTGAAGTGCTCGTTATTTTTTTTTCTAGAAATATCAACTTTTGGAATTTTCATTTTTATAATATAGAAATGGGCTTTCTGGTTCTGTTTTACCCCTCATTACCAGCTGCTGATTATTCTTTTCATATTCATGTACGATTAAAATCTTACGCAAAAGCAACCATGTTATTTTGTTTCTACGAAGTTTATAAACTCTCACACAAAATTACGGCGTAATTTACATTTATATCACGTTATTATTCAGACCATTAGTATTTCCCAGGAATGAGATAGACAGCTATACGTAAATGCAATTTCTTGCAATATTTGTATTCGTAAGAGGAGATTTTTATCGCGATATTAGAAAGTAGAAACACGGATTATTGCTGAACAATCATAAAAGTTCGCCTTCGAAAACATCGCTATACCCTCTTATCGACTTGTTTAGCAAAATGTGAGAAGCCAAAATAATGGGCTAAATAACGAACGTCAACGACCATCGATGGAATATACGTAAAAATACATCTTTCGGCAGGGCAAGCAATTACTCGAGCGACTTACAATGCGATATCTCCGACTGAAAGGCCCACACGAGTCCGTCTTTGTGTGCGCAGCAGAGGCCAACACACAATTCTTATGCACGAAGCGACTCGATTCGAATCGTATTCTCTGTCTTTTTCTTCTCCAAACGCGGAACATACACAGGCAGAGGCAGGCGCGCGTATATTTATAGTCGATATTTGAAATTGAAATGCCTCCAACATGTGTCGATGCTGATATGGGTCGCTTTCGCGTGCGTGTAGCCTTTTCTTTTTTTTTTTGTTTCGGCTCGACATGGAAATGCAAAAATACACAGATTTTTCCCCGATATGTATTCATTTCGCCTGCAAACAAACTATTTTTTATCCTGCGCGGCGTGTAACGTGCACGCGGACACGTGTGCTGCTGCTGCTGCAGCTCTCGGAGCTTGCTCGCGCCAATTTTACACGATTCAATAGCCCGATAACTACGAGGTAAACTGTGCTGGCGGACAAGTACAAACGATGCTTCTGCTGCTGCGATCTCGCAACACAAAAAAATGAAGAAAAAAAAAATACTTACATCGTAGAGCTCTCGAAAAATTGACGTGTATAAACTCGCATTTTTTCCTCTCGCAGGTATAACTTATATATGATCGCATATATCCTTGCCCTCGTGTATAATGTACATGATAAAAGCGCGTGTGTCGGTATTTTTTACTCGACTCGAGTTTTCCACGCGCTCTTATACGACTTGGATGCGTAAAGCTATTTTTGCTGTCTCTTTTCTTTGCTCAGCTCGCACTCGATGCAGTAAAATATCGCTTCGAAATTTACATTCCGGCCGGTCGCGTTCTTCGACGCAAGCATACAATTAAATTTTTACCCGCAGTTTCGAGATCGAGTAATATTATTCTTCCAGAGTAGCACTTGGAATATTTTCTAATGCGCAGTAAAAAGTTTATCGGCGAATTTCTGTTTTTAATGCCTCTTGCGGCGCATCGAGTTTGTAAACTTATCTCTGCGAGCGCAGTGCAGTTTGCACTGGACCGACCAAATCCTTTCGATATTCTTTGAAGTGAATAGTTAAAAAAAGCGTAAGATCTGGAATCGATACGTACGTATACCTACCTTACAGAGTTCGGATCGATTCGACTGCGGTAAAATATATCTGATTTATAATAGGATCACGCAGTTCATCGAACTTCATAGGAAAAGCTTCTCAGTTCCAAGCGAATTCCCTCGAGTGTAATTCTCTGTGGCACAAAGCGAGTATGTACGTGTTTATGTGTGTGTGTGTGTGTGTGTGTGTGTGTGTGTGTGTGCGTTCGGCTGCATCTGTGAATATATGTGTATGTGTCGGTGCCCATAAGCGGAAGATCATGAGCGCTAAAGCAACGATGCTATAAGTCGACGAGAAAGTGCGACTTGTGTGTATTATATATAGAACCGCAGAAGTTGATTCTTTTAGCGGAAAAGTTTAACTCTTCAATTGACAAGCTCTGGCCGAGGCCACGAGAGAGACACAGCGAGCCGCGGAGCGAGTGCGTATAGCGGCAAAGTTAGCAAGGGTTCCAATTGTGCCTGCATCTATCATTGTCAGGGCGCACTTTGGCGCAAAGTGATTCGCAAAAAGATTGAAGAGCTAATAATGTATAATTTATTGGATGAAATTATGATTGATTTTTTCTCATCTCGTCTCTATCTCTCTCTCGCTTCTTTTGTTTCGCGCAGGTATTCTCTCAACTGGAAGTTTTGTTCAGCGTCGGCGGCAAGCATTACACGGTTGAGCCGATTACCTACAGCTCCATGGAGGACGGCATTTTTGAGACCGCGCACAATGTCACGGTTAAGCTGCACAATCGCGTCGGAAGATTCGTTAAACTGCGCCTCTACTTCGCCGCAAAGTGGATTATGGTCAGCGAGATCTCCTTCATTTCTGGTAAGTTACAATTTTCCCGTTTTTATTTATCCGCGCAACGTCGTCCTTCCGAAGCGAGCAATTTTGCTCTCGTTTTTCTTCCCTTTTGCTCTCTGTGCGTTTCGTCGAATCAGCTCGGCGCTTCCGTTTACAGGTTATATCCTACGGCGGAGCTCGATGATAATTTGTTTGTTCGACTGAAAAAATCTCGAGGTTTCTTCATCGGCGCATCTGCGAAGCCGCGAGCATATTTGTGCTTTTCTCGACTGATTAACGCATCGCAACGAGCTTCGTGCATACAACCGCAACAGAATATATCGCTTATTGACTCGTCGCAAGAATCGAGCTTTTTTCCATTATTAATGTATTATTCACGAGTGAACCGCGAATCGTTCACGTTCAAATCTTCCGAATATATAGTCCTAGTGAACTTTGAAGCTAAACATTCTTATAAAATATAAATGAAGCTGAAGTATAGTCGGGGCGCGTTTCCGGGACAGGTTGACAAAATTTCCCAAATTTCTCAAATTTAATAAATCAACTTATTTACGTTCTCGATGAAGTGTCTTGACCCGTTTACCTTAGAAACGTGCAAACTTTAATTAATGTTGAAATTTCGCGAGTGTATACGTACACAAGCTGGATCGAATCTCGTTAAAACACGTTTGTCACTGTGACGATTGCATGTGTACATAAAAAAGCGGGTCAATTAAATCTTCAAATTCAATATAAGCTTTGGTCCATCGCGCACGTCACAATACGTCGAGTGTACCGTTGCAATTGACTTTCTGCGATTAATTTCGAATCCAAACTGTGGGAAGCTCGGAGACCAGAGCTCGTACGAATTAACTCGCTTTAATTTATTTTTACTCTCTTATTTTTTCCTCCCGTCGCGCCGTCAAAGGATCAAAATTATATAAAGACGAGTTAAAAAAAGCTCGAGGACGACGTTCGCGAGATCTGTATATAAAGTCGAGCTGCGATATATATAAAAGCTCAAGGTTCGCCTGCTGCTGCTGCGGACTTTGAGTTTCCTTTTGGCGTATATATGCCTCGCAGCCTGCGCGTTCCCCAAAGAGATGCCCATATCTCCTCCATGTAGCTATCCTGCCTAGCTCGCACACACGTATATACGTGTACGCAACGATGGCGCGCGTGGCGACGGTGACCCGCTGTCAACGTGATGAGGCATGCGATATGGCTTGGTAACCGGCGTGCGAAGAATGTTTAATATCAGATTTCTTCGTGAAAAAGTCCGTATTTTATATAAAAACGCGTCGTGCATTTGTGTGTGTGTGTGTGTGTGTGTGTGCGTATAAGCCTTGTACCAGCATATAGCTGCCGCAGCCATCCGGGATATCGTAGGCAGTCGCCGTTTGCCGCGCTACACACAAGTGCATGCGTATATAGGCGGAAAACTGTCCAAAATCCGATATCAGCGCGCGCGACGAGCGACAGCTCTGTTTCACGAGGCATAATCCCTCTCCTCGCTTGTACTCGCCTATAGAGAATTCAACAACGTCGACGTCCGCGCTAGTCGGAGCAGCAAAAGTAGCAGCAGGAAAAGCCGTATAAATGACGCTCGACGACGACGAGCTCGCGGCCCGACCCGACCCGCGCGCGCGCAAGCTCTTCTCGGCGCGATACATACGTTTCTCCATCCGACACGGCCAAAGGATGCCAACGTTCGTTTTTGCAGCTCAGACAAGTGTACATAAAATGATACACGCTAAAACGAACTTCTTCCGCGCTCTGTTTTCAAAATTAATAGCTTTTCCTCTCTGCATTATGTTGTACATTTGTATCGTGCGTATATTCTCTCTGCGGCGCACGCACGAACGAGTGCGACTGACGGCTGTTGCTTATTATTCGCCAAGAAAAACTCGAGCTTGAAATTCGAGTCGTCGTCGTTGAAATCTTTAAAAATTGTCTCTCAATGCCGTTCGTAGATACATCTGATGCCAACGATATTGAGAATGAACTACTCAGATTATGAAAAACTGAGCTTATCAATGCTTTCGCTCGGCTGCACACGCTACATTGACCTTTCGAGTGCATATACTTATTATGCTAATTGGAAACACGAGCTGGTTCGCGACGGAAGAGAGAAAAATGCTGAGAAAAACTCACCGAGTATAAAAATACTTGATCTACAGATTATGAACGTAGAGCTTTCACTGATATAAATTATAGCCATTTGTTGCTCTACGGATCAATTATTTAATTTCATTGTTAAACTGATGTAACCCGTATGGTAGCTAATGATTGCGATTGATTTCAGTTGTGGCGCACGGCAACTTCAGCGAGGAGTCGCTGTACGCAGCGACGGAGCAGCCACACGTGCACCAGCAGAGCAAACAATTGGTCGTGGACTCGAAGGCCAGCAGCAGCAGCAGCAACAACAACAACGCGTCCAGCCCGATCGGTGTGCTGAAGGAACCGCCCGTGTCGCAGGCCAAGCGCGACGACCCGACCTACATGGCGGTGGTCATCGGCGTGCTCACGGCCGTCATTCTGCTGCTGGCCGTGGCGATATTCCTGATCGTGTCGCGCCACCGCCAGCGCAAGTGCTTCGCCAGTCCGGTGAACGGCGGCAAGGCCCCGTCGCACCTGGGCGGCTCGTCGACCTGCGCCACCGTGGAGAAGGGCGCGGCCCTCATGGCCTACACCCTCGAGGACGACGAGAGGTATGAGCTTCCGTTACTCGACGAGTCCGCGATACTGATCGGCAGCAGAGGCGGCGGCGGCGGCGGCGGCGGCCAGCGTACTACTACTTCGCATAGCTGCACGCGCGGCGGAGCCCATGCACGTTTCTAAAAAGCTGCGAGCGATTGAGCTTCTCCGTACACACACGCTCATTACTTATATAGAGTCACTTCCCCAGTGATTGAAAACGCACCAGTGAATGAAACTTTATTTATAAATTAATATTATTTAATTATACTGAACTAATTCATCGGTATTGAAATTTTATAAGATAATTGAGCATTAATAATAAATATTTCAATAGTTTTTAATAACTTTCTGAATATATTATCATTAATTATAATGGTTTCATTCATTGGGTAGGTGACTCTACTTCACAGATTATAGAGAAAATATGAATACGATGCCCCATGCGGCTTGCGCTTGTTTGCTTCTTTTTATCTTTTTTTCCTTCGATCCAAAACATACAACAAAAACATGCGCGCGTCTCTTTTATTATTATCGAGAGATTTTTTGAGGCAGTCTTTTCGCGACGCGACCAAGCCTTCGTCCGCACTCACTGTGTTCCTTTGATTCGCTTTGATCGACAAAACCCTTACTGCAAAGCGAGACAAGCTTATGTTTTTTATTCAGTTTGATGATTCTAGTCATTTTATAGAGCCGTATACGCTAAAAGAAAAATAGATTTTTTTTCTGTAAAATGTACTAGCGGATCCAACAATAGTGCATGATTTGGATGCAAAAAGTATTGCATTTATCAAATTACTTTTTTTACCGCGTTTTCGCGATAAATCTGAAACATTTTCACAGATATTTGAAAAAAAATTTTTTAATCGAGAAACCGAATATCACGTTTCGAAAGTTATTATAAAAATATTTTTTGGGAAACTGAATTCAAATGAAACTGCATGTTGATAGAATAATTCAATACATATAAATATTCAATTATAGTATGATTGATATTCGATTCATATCGTAAATGTTTTATTGGTATTAAATGTAATCATTTATTCATCTTTGATATTATACATACATAATTCAAATTATATTTTTAAAATGAAAATTTGTAGAAATATTATCGTTATAGGGTCAACTGACTAGAGAAAGAACGACCACCAGTAAATGAATGACTAGTACATTAAATTAACCCGTTTCGGGCCAAACGGACGAAATTTTAGTTATTTTTTCATTCGCTGTAAACTCTGTGAAAAAATTATGTCAGAAATGTCAGAACAGTCATAACCGACGTAAAATTTTATGAACTTTTCGAATCCGGCGTCAGAATTGTCAAAAAAGTTGATGTGTAAAAGTTATGAACAATTAAACAATAAAAAACACGATTTTTTGGAAAAAAAATTTGATTTGATCCGAATTTTCGAGTCGAAACAGACTTGCTCCATAGGTCTAACACGTTTTTTTTGCGTCCATGGGGTGTAGGCTTGAAGGTCCAATAGTTACGATATCGAAATTCAACATTTTATCTTTAACGTTTTGTTCCTAGGCGCTTGGTTGACATATAAAAAATTGACTAAATTCATATACGGTTTCTTTCTACGAAGCGCCATTTTCGTGTCCGCCATGTCAAATTTCGATATCGTAACTATTGGACCTTCAAGCCTACACCCCATGGACGCAAAAAAAACGTGTTAGACCTATGGAGCAAGTCTGCTTCGACTCGAAAATTCGGATCAAATCAAATTTTTTTTCCAAAAAATCGTGTTTTTTATTGTTTAATTGTTCATAACTTTTCCACATCAATTTTTTTGCCAATTCTGACGCCGGATTTGAAAAGTTCATAAAATTTTACGTCGGTTATGACTATTCTGACATTTCTGACATAATTTTTTCACAGAGTTTACAGCGAATGAAAAAATAACTAAAATTTCGTCCGTTTGGCCCGAAACGGGTTAATTAAATAATGAATATTGTGATAATATTTTTTGTAACATCCACTCATCTTTTCTTGGGTAACAGCACTTTTAACAACAACAGTTTGATTTTTATTAAAACCATTTTTTTATTAGTAAATCTATTTATCTTTTACCCAGTAATTGAATAGACATCCTAAGATATCTTCGTTGCAGAGGTTATGTATTTATCGAATCTAATCGTCAAGAATCGATTACTCTTGGAAGATTTTTACAATCATTAATGAGTGAAACTACTCAAAGTAAACTACTTAATATAAATTCTTTAATGTGACCCGGTTATTTAATATTTTATGGATGGTTACATGATATTCAATTATAAAATTGACAATGTTACACGTTCATTTACTGGTAAAATACGTTTTCAAATTATTAAGATCAAATTATTAATTAAGAGCATTAAAATCTGAAAATCATCTACTTCATAAATAAAAAAAATTATTGTGGTTTTTATAATGTGATTTATGTCGCATTTTTTGAAACCATTCATTCACTGGATAGTTGACCCTATGATAAATTCTTGTATTCATTTTTATGGAGATAATCCTTTCGCGACACTGAAAGACAAATTTTAAATGATGATTTTTTAAAAGAGCGCCCTTTTATAACAGAGTATAACATGTTCCTTATGAGACTGCTTCAAATTCCTCGTATAGATTGCATGAGATTCTTTAGAAGATTGAACTTGTGAAAAAATAATTATGTAATCTCATGCAATTTGATGACTTACGAAGTTCGTATTTAGCCATTATAGGTATGCACTATTTGTAAAATTACACTTTTTATCTAGCAAAAAAAATTCGCATATTAAACCTTTGAAGTTAATGAAATTATTAAAATGAAAAACGACATTCCATGAGTATTTAGTTTAAGATTTTATATCTATACTTCCGATAAGGAATTCTATTATTAATTCAATTTTAGTCTGCTACTGCATAACAATAATGAGTTGGCTTCAAAGGTTCAAGTCAATTCAAAATTAAGATACTTATAAATATTAAAAATTTATTTTATAAAAATATATTGATTTTATGCATGATTTCAATATCCATCGAGATCAATCGATTTCTTTCATTTCTTTGATACTCGACATTGTTGCACGTATTTGAACTCCTCACACACAATCCACATTTCAATTTAAAAAACTATTTAGTCATGTTTTTTCCGTTTGAAAAAGTTTATTCTCTAATGTTGAGTATTTTAAAAGTAAAATAGTATGATCGAATCATTCACATATGCAATCATGCAATGACAATCATAGCAGAGTAGTTCAAACCACGAATGTACATACATAATCACTGTATTTGAGAATAAGAAATTAGCATTGATATTCGTATAAAACAGTTTGTGTGATTGTACGAAGTCTTACAGATAGAATAAGAAATACTTTTTCAACCAAGATGTACAAACTTAAGTATTACAATTTGAAATGGCTAAAGCTATATAAGTAGCATTATGATTATATATTTTTTTATTCTTGAAAGAAAAACAACTGAATAAAAATATCAAAAAGTAAAACGTGTTTTGAAATACTACCTACCTCCAAATTAATCAAAATTAATCAAAATTGATTGACAAGTACATTACATAATTTTGAGAACAATCTATCAAATTTATTGGCTAATCTAGCTTGTTATTTGCAGATACATTGTTACTGTATGATTTGCAAAAGCTTAAAAATATGCCTTTACAGATAACATTTTGCTTGAACTTTACACGCGCTGCATGATAACATTAAATAAGCACTCGAAAATCGAATTTGAAAAGTAATCGCGTAAGCACGATAGCTGAACTTTCACTTTTTCACATTTTGCACTCTTGAAGTTTTCATCTACTACAATCGAAACAATACTGACAAAAACTCGTTAATGGAATTGTTTGAAAAATTCTCTTCATCTCCTTTTAATTCGTTCCTTATTTTTTCTCTTGCGATAATTGCCATTACTACTCGAAAATATAAATGTTACCTGAAATTTCCAATTAAACTGCCCTGAAATGAAAATATTTTGAAAAATCGTCCGCTCGCGTGGCTTGCGTGTTGTTGTACGGGGTGAAAACACAAAATCAGCACCTGCACACGAAACACAACAAATCGCTTGGCACATCCAGCAAATTAAATTCTTTTTATCAAAGATCGGCTCTTCTTTTCGACAATTACACAAGTTCATTGGCTGGCTCGATACAGCCGATACTTTTCCCTACTTTTTGCCTTCACAGTAGTAGTGCGGTGGTCGTTTTCCACCTCGTTACACGATTGAAAGAGAGAGGTAGAAAAAGAAAGGCGCTTGCGGGCAGTAGAGTAAAATAAAAAAAACAAGAGTAAAAAAAGCGAGCTCCATTTAATCCGTGGTCTTGGCGTGTGCTTCTTTTTGTTTGTTCTCTCTTTGCGCTCCCCGTCGACTCTCTGGACGCGAAGGTACGCCGGCGGTTCTTTGCCCACCTTGCCGAGGGAGCTGGGAAATCGTCTGCTGGACATTGTTAAGCTCGACGACTATCAGGAGCCGTATCAAGCGCTGAAGTACGCGCCCTATTACAGCTACAGTACCGTCGTCATGGAGATGAAGGATAGGACGCCCAACAACAAGCCCAACAATGTCAATCAATCCGGTGAGTTTGCTCTACTCCTCTCCGCACGCATGCATTTGCATAATATATATTACGTAATTAGAGAATTCAAGTTTTTAATGAAATTGATCGTTGCAACAGATATACGGCGTAACTCGAAACTTTACCCAAAGTAAATCTACGTATGCAATGCCATTCGCCATTTATACCATTGATTCCCAAAGCACCACTTGAATGGACCTTAACTTCGAACGCGAAGTGAGAGAGAGAGAGAGAGAGAGACACTTGCAGTGTTTACTGAAAATTCCTCTTGTCGCGTACATTATATGCAGGCGCAACGAGTGCTCCAACTATTTTGCCCCGGATCTAATTAAAGCTAAGTAGTTTAGAAAATTTTCTTGCCACTGCACGATGGCAAATTATATAGAGATTCTTCACTAGCGCGACACACACACACACACACACACACACTTGACTCTTGAATCTTTTGAACTTGATCGTCGCACTATATATATATAGGCGCGCGTTGTATATTGCACCAGAGGAGCGCATTGAATTTCATTATGCTCGATATATATTTGAACATCTCACTTTTCAAATTACCGCGAAGAATTTAATTTACACGCGGCGGTGCAAGCGCCCGCAGAGAGATAGCTCGCTGGCACGGGTTGCGCACGCGCGCGAGCAATATAATGGCTGAATAAAATTTGGCTTTGACGCGTATACAGGGGGGTATATAAGTGGGTTAGTGGAACTTTTGCGAGCAACGTCGAGTTATTCCGAGTTTTCAGCGCTTTATTTGCTTAATGCCTTCAAAAATCAATCAAATCAAGAAGTTGCTCTCTCCCAGCGTAGCGACGATCAACTCTTGTAATATGACCCATGTGTCACTCTTTCTTAATGACCAAACTTTAACAATTCCTAAAGTCTCTCTCTCTCTCGCACAGGAGCTATTGCACTTGTACTTGCAGCTCGCCGAGTCGTGTACAATATATGTATGGGGCGCGCGCGCGGGGGCTAAGTTGTTGCAGTTTGCGCGCGCGAACAAAATACATTATTGTGCTTTAGCGCTCGCGAGCGCTCGTAATAGCGCTAGCCATAAATAATTCGAGGCGATTTATCACGGAGAAATGTTGCTCCTCGATGAATCACCGTGGGCTCGAGCGCGCGAAGCTTCTTCGCCCCCCGAAACGCGAGCCCGAGCGAACGAAAAATTGATTGTTTTATTTTTCTTTATTGTTTATTCTTGTTGTTGTTGGTGCATACACGAGCGCAGTCTATGCTAATGGAGGAATAGACGCGTCTTACGACTACGCGGTGCCGGAAATGGCCACGCAGCAGCCCTTGCTCAACAATGCCTCCTCGGATGGTCGTGGCGGCGGCGGCGGCGTCGTCGCTCTCGGCATGAACGGGCTCGTGGCCAGCAGCACCGGAAGCGACCAGGACAGCTGCAGCTTCTCCAAGGCCTCGTCTCGCAGCAGTAAGCCCGACGATAAGAAGGTGGGTCATATCTTTGGCTATTCATCGAATATTCTATACGCGTGAGACGTGTCGTGGAAGCTTGATCGATTTATAATGTTCGGGTCAGAAATAAACGCTCTCGAGTTTTCGCGATGATACATTTTTGATGTCGCAAAGTGTAAAAACGAACGCGTTCGACGATTGAATATTCGAGGATCGAGCGCTCTCGATGCTATTTGTAATTCTCGTCTCGAATGCGGAATTAAAAAAAACGGGCCGAATTCGCAAGCTATAGGTCGTCGGGCATTGGTCAATCCTCGGGCTTTGCAGCCGAGGCGTACGTACGTACGTACACTCGCCAATATTGCCGAGCCGCAGTAATCCCTTATCTTTCCTCGCAGAAAGTACGACGTGTGGCTTTGGAATCAAACACATCGCTGCTGCTGGGCTTTCTTCGTTTTCCAGCTGTATATACTCTTGTGTATATGCGCGGACGGACGAGGAAAGGCATTGCAATATTCAGTCGTTGTACCGACAGAAGGCCGCAGCAGAAGCGCTGCCCGTTGGCCGCGCTCACGAAATATAGACGAGTCTGCAAATAATTTCGCTCGATGTCTGGCTTTCTCAAGCCTAGCTTATACGATTAGCCAACGCCCGAGCTTTGACCTTTATTTGGAAAGAACAAAAAATTTCGGCCTGTGTAGACGTTGCTTTATCTCTGTATGTATTTTATTTTATTTGAAGAAAATTTCGGAAGTTTACAAGTTCCAATGTTGCTTGATGACGTCTGCAGCTTTCTCCGCGATCGCCATGATGGGTACGTTGGGATGGGCACTGACGATTCGAGGCATAATCGATGCGTCGACGACTCGTAGATTTTTAATCCCGATGACCTAGAAAGTCAATCAAAGGATTATGATGAGGACATTTGCACGATGATAAACAAAATCAGCTTACCCGTAGATTCGAATCGACGACCGACGTCGGGTCGTCCTCTCGGCCCATCCTGCAAGTGCCGCACTGATGATAGATGGTCATCGTGTAGGTGCTCGTGGCGCACTCCCAGTAATCGTCCGTGTCGTACGCGTAATTTCCGCAGGGCAGCGGCAGCCCCGAGTACAGCTGCGAGCCGTACCTCTGCAGCGCGCCGGTCTTGGTCAATCTTATCGCGGCTCTGACGCCCTTCACCAGCGTCCTCCTGTCCTCCGCCTCGTCCAAGTAATTCGGATAGAGTTTCGGCTTGACGAGCGGATCCTTGCTCACTAGCACGAGCTTGCCGCGGCTCTTGGGGTGCATCAGCATCGGCCATATGGTGTAGGCGCTGTGATCGAACTTGTCGCTGCTCATCGCCCGACGATATTCCTCTTTGACCCCGACGAATTTCGACATGGCCTCGTCCTTGATGCCCGCCATACCGGCGAACAATAATTCGATGTTTGGATTCGGATTCGGGGGATCGGTCACCTCGTCGTCGTCCACGTTGACGTAGCCCAGACCCTCGTAACCCGTGCCCAAAGCCAATGATCCGTTTCTCTCGGCGAAGTAGCGATGAATGTCCGAGTTGTCCGGATCGAAGAGATTACTCTCTTTGAAAGTCGCCGAGTCGTTAACTTTGAATATCAATCCGCCGTAGCCGATGTGATCCTGGAGATTTTCACCGACCGGCGCATCTTTGATGACTCGTATACCGAGCTCATTCAATTGCTCTCTCGGCCCGATGCCCGACAGCATCAGCAGTTGCGGCGAATTTATAGCGCCGGCGCTCACGATGACCTCTTTGCGCGCCCGCACGCGAACGGTCTTTCCGTTCTTCAAAAACTCCACCCCGTGAGCCTGCGAGCTCGCCTCGTCTATCGATATTTTCGTAACGAGGCTCCTTCTGGACACGAGCAGATTGTCCCTGCCCACGGCCGTATGCAAATAGCCTCGGTTGGTGCTCCATCTTTCCCCGTTTCTCGTCGTCGATTGATAGGTCGAGAATCCGATTTGCTCGGCGCCGTTGTAATCGGCTTCGGGATATCCGAGCTCTTTGGCCGCGGCGAGGAAGGCGTCGACCAGCTCCGAATTATAGGGCGGACTATTTATGTGCATCGGTCCGTCTCTGTTGTGATACTTCCAATCCACGGGCACGTGGCTCACGTTGAAGTTTTCCAACTTCTTCAGGTACTTCGTCATGCTTTCGTGGGACCAGGACGGGTCGCCGGTCGCCTCGGCCCAGCCGTCGTAGTCGTTTTTGTTTCCTCGGGTCGCCAGCATGTAATTCAAGACGCTCGAGCCGCCCATGACCTTGCCCCTGGCCCAGGTGCAGTGCTCCAGTCCGCGACAATATCGCTCGGAATTTTCCGTCCGATACTTCCAGTTGACCTCGTCGCTGCTCTGCAGATACGAGGCCATCAGCGGCACGTCCATTATCGGGTATTCCTTGCCACCGGCCTCGAGCAGCAGTACTCGGACGCTTTGGATCTCGCTGAGGCGCGAGGCCACGACGGCGCCGGCGCTTCCCGCTCCGACGACGATGAAATCGAACTCGTCCTCGTCCGAGGGTGTCGAGTCGGCCAGATCCGTCTCGTAAGGCGGCGTGGCCTCGTCGTTGAACTCGAGCCTACCTTCCACGAGATCACGGACATTTTGGCGAAATAGTTCTTCGGATCCCGAGGCGAAACAGCACTGAACTACCGACAGCAGAAGCAGTATATTACCGCATAGAATTTTCATTATGATTAATTGTCAAACTCTATAGCACTTGTAATGAAGTTTGGTCTTACTCGACGCATCGACGTAACTCGACTGCGTGATAAATCGATGCCTGTTTCGACTTGTTACATTTTCAAGTGTTTGATTAACGCACCATCTTATCGTATTAAGATAGCTACTGAAGATCAATATATATGTTAATAATCTTGTTTATTCAACTAATCAGCATGACGATTGTAATCAAAGTTACACCATAATTTATTACAAAGAAATAACTCCGACAAAGTAAAAACTTCCTCTAAATCATAAAAAAATAAAAAAAAAAATAAAAACATATAAAATATGTTTGCCAGCATAACTGTAGCTCTAAAAGCACAAAGTGATAAATATTTAAATTCTTATGCTCACTTCGGTGGCAGAGAAATACGGACTCTCGTAAAGCCCTCGTATATGCCTCCACTATATATTTTATCCGCCATCGCTGCCCCCCGTTCTGGAGCTTTACAATACTTGCAGGAAAGCTTGCAATTAATAATTGAAATCAATATTCGGTGCTTCTCTCGGCTATTTCCCTCGATGGCCTAGTTCGGCTGGTGCCATCCTCGGCCTGTTATGCGCCCTTAAGGCGCTGAATTTCTGGCAAACTACGCGCGCCGTCTTACAAATCACGTGACTTTTTCATAAGAAAAGCATCGCTCGGGCGTTTACGTTATTCAAGACTATCTTACATGGCTATATACGAGAAGCTTAAGAGAGAACAGCGAGTTCGCATTGTATGGCACTGGGCATCTCTCTTTTAGATGCGTGTATGAACACCGGTTCCCTCGAGTTAGTTTTAAAAAATTGAAGAGTTGAAATTTCGATTGCTCTTGAGTGCAGTTATTGTTGCCTGAGTAAAAACTGGCAAGTTTTTGTTCAGACCATCATATTTAAATTGGATTTGAAAAATTGAATTCGAGAAACGAAATTTCTCTAATCATAACCAAATCGAAGAGTGATACTTTGTCATTTTCAAATATGATGTATGATATCAAAAAAAAGATATAAAAACAAAACAATTCAAAATTAAATTATTGTATGTATTGTACGAGTGAGACAAGTGAGCTTGAAAGAGACATATTAAATAAGCTCAGAAGAGCTGATCAAAACAAAAAACACACTACCAAAAACGTACCGCGAATCAAAGTCACGCGCTCGCATTATGTTGGAAAAAATATGTAGTCTGCTTTACTTGGGTATGCCATACACACCCACACCCCCACACGTGGATGGTCGTACACAACAGCTTGTTCAAGGCGAAGAGTTTAGAGAGGCTCGCGGCTCGTCTAGAGAGGTGCGCGCGATCACGTCGTCGAACTTAATTTCCTTTTCGCGCGAAAGCGCTTAGTCAGCGAGACGATGAGCTAGACTATCTATATAGCCAGCCGATCTACGGTATATCTATATGTAGGTACGAGTCTAGCTGTGCAGCGCATTTTACCGAGCAGCAGTAGCAGTTCTAGCGGGGCACGTCTGCAGTGCTCTGCGCTGCGTCGATGTCGAGAGAGAGGGAGGGAGAGAGGGCAAAGGCACGTGATTAATGCGAGCACCTCTTCGCGGGACTATCAATCACCCGAGGAAGCCCCTACGCTCGGAGCGATTCATCGGCGATTTAAGCGTCCGATATGCACGACCGCATCGTTATGTCCGCTGGTAGTGTACGGTGCGAGCTGCGCCAGCCCGTCGTCTCTCTGCATCGGAGGCCCGTGCGCGGCTCGAGGTACGCGCCTCCACGAGCGTCTCTTCGTACATACAGCTGCGTTCGTTCGTATAGCTACCGAACGAGTGAAGCTTTTGTGCATATTATCGCGCACATAGGCCGAGTGTTTGGATTAGCGCGGCGATAAAAGCGCGCGCGCGCACGGCAAAATTGACTCTTTTTGCCGTTTGATAGCTGCAGCTCGCGAGGTCGTCGACCTCTGGGCGCTCTTCGGCTGCGAGCTGTCGATTAAATATTTCCCCGTCGGCTTGTCGAGCTTTTACATGGCCACCCATCGAATTGCCAATAGTTTTTGGCAGCTAACGAAAAGAAAAAAAATAGAAGAATTGATCTGAAATGTGGATTACGTATGCTATGTGTGCTGTCTGTGTAAGAGAAAATGATTCGATTCGGTGGGCCGAAAAAGTGTATGAAATGTATGAAATGTCAGAAGGTCCTCGTGACATACTAATCCTGGGCTAATTTCTACAGTTTGGACGATATAGGCTGACGCATAAGCTCCCGGCGGCTCGATGGGCCCGCCACACATATCGGACTGAGTTCTTTTGACAAATACTATTGCATACGCGGGGCACACAAAGGAAACAATTTCGCTCGAATTAAACTCGAACGAAAGCTCGAGCGGCGGCGCGAGTCTACGCTCCCGTTATGAGTCGAGCTTCCCTCGATTAAGTTTTCATACTGCACACACATAGACAATTGCGCGCAGGAGTTTCACATACACACATGGCTTATCCTCGCATACGCATATACCCAGAGAGAGAGAGAGAGAGAGAGAGAGAGAGGACAAAGCTTGCAACAACACGCCCCGTGCTGTATAACGGGTGGAGGGGAACAGCCGCCATTCACCGACAGGTGAAATGGAAACGTACAGTCGACATCAAAGGTCCCGCGTAATAATCTTTTCCCTATTCTACCTGCTGCAGCTTGGGCTTGTATGTGTATGTGTGTACGTGTGTAGGGCACGCACACAGGCCAAGCCGAGCTTTGATTGGCATATACGAGAAAAGCGAGAGCTTGCGAAGCTCACGTCAAGCCAAGAGATTGGGATAGTAGTATTAGCGGTACGGCGTATATATAGCATAGTACCTGTTCGCCTGTACGCCACCACACATACACACAGACATACATGAACACGTCAACGGACGCACACACGACCACACCGGCGCGCCATAACGGCGTTTTGACTGTTTCGAGTGCTGTTGGCGTCAATCACAATAATATACTACCTTTGCTCGCCTATGTGCGGCTGTGTGTATGTGTCCGTGTGTCATGAAATCGAATGGGGCCGTCGATTATATAGCATATATCTCGTCGGCGAGTTTGCGCGTATTAATCACTGGCGCCTGCACTGCAGTGCACCGGTACCCACCCTTCCTCTTGCCCAACCGAGTATATGTAGGCTAAATCGATCTGCGCCCGTATATACAGCTTAATTATGGATATATACCGGAGTGCCGAGCTACACGTCGCTCACCCCCTTCGCCAAACCACTGAAGCTGGAGCAAGAGCTGTCAGAGGAAGAAAAGAAAAATCCTCGAAATAGTTGAGAATTTTCAGTTGTAAGTAATGCAATATTATGACATAATATGCCGTAGTTTTATGTCCCGAAGTAACGTCAGTTTTTGTATTATAGCTTCAGACCGCTAGATGCCATGATCGATTCCGAAAGTGAACAAATATACTTGTGGCTATGTAAAATTTTTTTAACGCCAATAAAAACTATCAAAACAAATATACTTTGGACTATGTATTTGACTAATTCAAATCTTCAAATGATTTGCCATCGCCTTTATTGCCGTATTATTTTACGAAATTAACTTAGAAGCGTGCCGATTATTTTAATATCTTTATTATATCTACGTCAACGTATCTGTGATGCATTCGAATTATTGATTATCAAATTACACATAGAAATCACGAGATAAGCTTAACCTCCGTAGCAGTTCAAGATATTTATTCCGTTATTAAATTCAACTCGTCGACGTATGCATGTTAAAGTCAGAGGGGTAAAACTTACTCGACTCTGCATCAAACGTACGCGACACATGTTTCTCTCGAGCGACGTCTCTCCGACTCTTATCGGGGACTTTTCGTTCGTCGTACTCGCACATGGCGGAGCGCAAAAAAATCATCGATCGTTCGATATTATATATCAACCGTTGATCGCGAATACTACACATATATTTGAACCATATCTTTTTTCGATTCTCTCTCTCTCTTATATGCATGTATTCATAATATGTTTTGCATGTTGCAGTCGCCGACGCAACAGGAGGTGCTCTTAGCCCTGAAGAAACGCCTCGAGCAGACGAGCGTGCCCGTATTCCCACGGCATCGGCTGCGTATGCTCTCCAAACTGGCCGAAGGTGCATTTGGCTCTGTGAGTTTATCTTTTCGTATACCGTGTGTATAAGCTTCCTCCATTCTTTCTTTTTTTTCTACTTTCCCTCGCAAATATTATAAAGTTGCGCGATACTCGCGTAGGAGCTCGAGTCCATTACACGCGGGGGCAGCGTACGCTTCTATACGCGCACGTTCCATTGCAATTTTAACCATATATAATAATACGTTTTTAATCGATTATTGCATTTGCGCGTTTCGTTTATGCCTTTCGTTCGATATTAGCGCCTCGTGCCCCCATATGTGCACGTGCGAGATGAGAAAATGATTAGATTAACCCGTGGGCAATATCGAGACTGTATAAACAAGTCGGTTATGAAAAAAATGTATACGCATCTAATAGCAACGATAATAATAATAATAATAATATAAATTTGTTTGCAACGAAGGTCTACATTGCGGAAGCGGAAGGGATTCCGGAGTATGGCAGCAGCACTACTCTCGGCAAGAGGCTCGTGGCAGTCAAGTTTTTACTGCCGGAAGCGAACGAGAAGGAAAAGTGAGTGTATTAAACAAAACGCACCATTTTATGCTTCACTGCGCGCGCGACTCCTACTGCCTCACATTTTTTTTCTCCACTTTTTATACATATTCAACGTACGTATTATTATATAGGACTCTTGTATATATTTTTTTCTAGCTATTAATGCGCTCGTCGGAGGGACGAAAAGTGTGTACAGTAAACCTGGCTCGTTGTTTTCAAGCTCATTGTCTCATTAGCATATAGTATAGAAAGGGGAAAGAAAAAAGAAGAGAATATCAAAAATGTATATCTCTGTTCGGAGCTGTTTTTAAAACATTCAGGTACCTGCTACAGGCGCAGAGACAGAGAGAGACAAATTTTCGTGGCACGCACATAGCGCGAGATGCTCGAAATTAATGGGGTCGGCCGTTTTTTTATGCGTCTTATTTCGTCGCGGCCGAGTAAACACGTGAGTTGGTCTCTGTGTGCAGTACGCAACTCTTTTCGAATCATCCCTTTACGAGCCGTAAGGACTCTTCTTGTTCGATGTCTGCTTACGTACACAGAGTCTCGTCCATTGTCTTCTCTCCACTGGATCTAGCTGTATCCCATCCAGCGTCCTTTATTTTTCATTCTCTTTCTCTCTATACGTCTCTCTTTTCCTCCGACTCTTTCTTCCGAAAGTCTACTCTACATCTAGCAACGGTCGAATAAGGCACGGCGAAAAAAAATATCGCCTCCTCTCGTGGCCTATCGTGGCTCTATTGTTCCGCGATATTCGCTCTTTGTTGCCACCCTCGAAATTCATTTCACGGGGTCATATACGAGAAGTGGCGTGGACCACGTAATCGAGGATCAACCTCTTCCTCGAAAGAGCCGCGCGATTTACATACAATACGTGCCGGGATACATTTGTCCTGCGTCGAGTCCCGTGCACGTTGGCCGAGCTCGTGTAAAATATAGCGAAAGCCGCGCGCCGTTACGCAAGGCAACCAACGCTACGTGCAATTTCATACAGATGTGTATTTTTATATAAAGCTTCAACTTTGAACGATCGCCTCCGCGTATATATGGTCGACTTGTCGAGTCTTTTGAGGGTTGGACGGAGAGGGATTTATTTATAGGCCAGGCGAAACATTTTTTGCCGATTTCGCGTGATTTGGACTATTCATGCGACGTTATAGTCGGCGGCAGTCGTCGGCGGGTTATTTTCGCTCGCTCCGGACAAATGCGGAATTTTCTTCTCCGCGCGGCATTGTGTTCGCTGGATAAGCGGCGCTATACCGCGCTCGGAAGGAGAGAGCTTTGTGTGCGCGCGAGGAGACGCGATTGAATTCGAATCGACGAACGACTGCTCGAATAAGCTCCGCGGCCGCAACGAAAAAAGCTCCGCGCCTTTGTCCGCGCTTGATTCGCAAAATAGTTGTAAATATAACGTAATAAGCTTTTCTAGCCTGAAAAATATGTATCAATTTCCTTTCGGTCCGATTTATGAATGCGACGGCTCTTGAGAATTTTCCCGTTATAAATGCGATATGCTAATATTAATGTAGTATAATGCGGATTGGGTAATGGGCCTCGAGGCATTTCGCGGCTGCCGCACCGTCGCTGGATTATATATAATATATATACCCGGTGAAGGGAAAAGTGGATAAACTCCGCGAGAGCCATGGTACGCAGGGCAAAGTAGGCAGACGACGAGGACTGCAGGAGGCAAAAGACGTTTGTGTTGACGAAAGATAACAGCTCGAGTTTTATCCCGAGCGTCGCGTCTCTTTGCAGCGGGGATAGCAGCGACGTCTTATAATCCCACGGCACGAGACACTTTATTAAAAAAGTCTTTAATTTTATTTTCCTTTTTCCTCCTCGTCAGCAGACATTGTCCCTTCAATTTTCATAAACCAACACAGACGCTCGATCAAATATTGATACTCGATCGATCATCGAGTTAGCTCGTTCCGTGCAGCTCACGCGTGTCCTTTTGTAATTTTATTAAAAGAATGTAATAATGCCCGAGTAAAGAAAAACAGCCGACTGCACGATACGACGCGTCCGCGAAAAAGGCCATCGCGCACGCGAAAAAGTGCAGCCAGCTCGTGGAATATAAAATTTCTCGATCGAGCTGGAAGAATTTATTTCATCCCGTCGTGCGCGCATGCAGCAGTGTATAGTGTGCTCGAGAGAAGCACATAGTCGGGAGCTGGGAGTCTCTGATAGATACACGCATTGTAACAAGCAAAAGCTTCATCGTGCGCCGTATATACTTTGCATCATCTCTCGGCAAAAGTGAAAAAAGCCAAACTGTTTTCCCAAGTAAGAGTGCATCCAAGCGAGCCCTGGCTCGAACAAGCAAGAAAGAAAAAAAAAGGAGCTAGCGTGGAAAAAAGCGGAGAGAGGAAAAATTTTGAAAGCTGCAGCGATCAGGCACGAGCGGCGTATACGTATAGAACGAACGTATCATTTCCGTAATAGTTGCGCGATATCAATATGCTAACCGCTTCCTCGTCGGTTTTTTATATATATTATACACGCGCGCTTTTCGGTTGTGCGCTCGCGAGCGAAAAAAAATACACCGAAATTCGCTCTCTCTCGACGTCGAACTTAAACTGCCGTAAATAAGTTCTCGCGCCAGAGTCGTGCTTATATACTTTCTTTTTTTTTCTCCTCCTTTTGTTTCGATTTTTCACCGCGTGCCACTTATATATACGTATCGAGCAAAAAGAATTTAATTCCGCGCGATACAAACACACGTTGCACGCCGCAACGGGTATATTGCGATATCGGTGTTTTTTTTATTGAATTTTTGGCTGCATGCGCGGTTCGCTCGATCCAACTTCAATAACTATATAGCTCGAACATAGTTGGCTGCAGAAAGAGAGCTTGATATTACTCCGTTTGTGCCCAGCGATTTGCGGTGATTGTCGGCGGCAGGGGGGGGCAGCTTCTCTTTGTTAGTTTTTAATTATGGTATACGTGCTTTGGAAGGTAAAGCTGAATGATGCAGCTTTTTAACCCCGCACAGCTGTGCTACACTCGATAATTTTTTTTTCTTTATTTTTCTTCTTTCGCCCGAGCACGCTAGCTTGGAAAATTTGATAAACTTCTCCGACGAGTAACCGTATATTTTATGCAATAAGAAAATCGTAAATGAAAAAAAATCGACTGTGTACCTATTTTGTAATAGTTTCAATTTGATCGAAATTGTTCAATGATGATTAAAAATATTGCTGAATTCGCTTGCGTTAAAAGACAAGAATAACGCGCGAGACATAAATTATTTTCCGAAACGAACGGAATCTTTCTCTACTTTATTGAAAATTTTATTGTTTACCTCTGATAATATCTCAAGGCACTAAAACTCGGGTCAAAAAGGCCGTAAAAAGGCATGCTTTACGCGCGCAAAAAAACGGAATTACAGTTGCCCTCAAAGGTGTCCGGAATGTAACACACTTTCAAGCGTCGAAGTACAGTAAAACCCGGGCACGAAACTTATGGAGCTTGCGAGACGCGCGCGAGCTCACGTCTATGTACGCGCGAGAGAGATACGTGTAGACGCGCGGGGGAGCTTGCGCCGCGTAGCATCTTATACGGCCAATCGACGTATTGCTCATAGAGCTTATCTTTAACAACTGTTTTACTGCGCGAGAAACACACGCTACGACGAGTAGTAGTACCGGAGGATGGCTATGGGGAAGGATGTTATTAGCTAATCGATTTTACACGGAAGCATAAAAGCTCGCGCCTATAATACCAAAACGAAATTAGAGATATCCGACGAGTAAGCTTTAAATATATTTTTTACACGAGATTGTAAATTTCCTTTAAAAAAAGGTTGTATCGTTTGTACATCGGGAAGCTGCTTTAGCATTTTAATGCATAAAGATGTTCGATGCTCGAAGGACACGAGCATTTTTTTTCTTCCTGAAATCGACTCGAAGAAAGCTCTAGGTTTGATTTCTCTGCTGACGACTCGATTCATCGAATGGAAATCTAATATATATACGCGAGCAAAATTCCTCTGAGCATCTTGCATACAGTGTACATGTCTTATATAGATATATATTATATGGAAAAGCACCAAGAGTCAGGGAGAGAGAGAGAGAAATATCATCTGTACGGTATATCCCTTACAAAGCGGATATTGCCCTGCAACTCTTGGGACTCTCCCGTCGAATTACGTCAATCTCTCTCTCTCCATCCCTCTAGCCATATATACGTACACATCAGCTATTTCTTCGGACGCGTATATACGTTTGTAATACAGATATACGGAAGCTCGTGTGGCTTCGCCACAGTCAAAACCTGACAATACACATATATACATATAACACAATAATACAATCATCAGGCAATTTCGCAGTTTGGGGATGGAGTTAAGACGCACTATAACACACACGTGCCTGTTGCAGATTGGATTTCCAGCGCGACGTTAGGATACTGGCCGCGCTCGAGGACCGCAATATAGCCCGGGTATTGGGCGCCTGCTGCCGCGAGGAGCCCTACTGCGTCGTCATGGAGTACCTCGAGCACGGCGATCTCTGTCAATTTCTCAAGACCCACGTCACGGCCGAGGACGCCCACTCCATGCCCATCGGTGTCAAGACTCTCAGGTGAGCATGGACCTCTATATACACGATAGAAGCTCGAGCGATTGTTTTTCCGTTGTTTTTTTTTTATATCGTCAACGATTCAACCTGTGCATGGGTACTTGAAATCTTTTGTGGAACTTTGAAACAATTCCAGGTGGTTCTTTTTTTTTCAAGACTACACGTAGCCTCTGTGATAATTTATTTTTCATTTTAACGCGAGTTTACGCGCGAGCGGTGGAGAATTATTCTAATGGGGCTAAACAAAATGTGGGAAAATAGAGCAGGCTTGTGGGGGAGGGCCACTTCTTTTCCATTGTCGCTTTCTACTAGCCCCCTGCGCGCTACATACACAGACACACACATATACACAGAGAATTTAGCTAGTAGCCACAATTTTCTGTCTCTCCTGTTGCAGCTTCAACTGCCTCATTTACATGGCTGCGCAAATTGCATCGGGGATGCGGTACTTGGAAAACCTCAACTTTGTACATCGAGATCTGGCAACGAGGTGAGTACGCATGCACGTTGTAATACGTGCTGGCTGGCAGAGAGAAGGAAAAGGCTCGCGAGTGTGTGCCCCACATTATATGGGCAATGCACCGCGGGCTCGCGTCCTGTCCTCGTATTATATAGCGTCAAAGTTGCACGAGCTGCGCGAGACGAAGCTTCGAGTTCCGAGCAGCCCACCGTATGGCCGGTGTTTTGGGCGAAATAACGCGCGGTACTTTGGTCACCCGCTTTTCTTTCTTCAAAGCTTGTGTACGTGTATAAGCATGAAAATCCACGAATATTATAATGACAAAGCCGCGCGTGAACTTCAAACCGAGAAAGAGATTTATTTTACTCGGTCAAAAACAACGCAGACCAACTTGACGCTCTCCTAAAAGCCCGCGTTAGTAAATAATACGATAAAATTTTCATTTGCTCTCTAGATCAAACAATTCTATTATTTTCAACGCTGCGTTGAATCAAACCGCGCGCAACAAGCGAGCGCAGCTTTTTTCGTAACAACAACGTATATATAATACGAGCTTTTTTACGTTGCGATAAATTCTCTACAAAATTTATCGAAAAAAGAGAGAGAGAAAAAAAAAAGGATCGAGCTGGGCCAGTGCTATGAAGCTCGTCCGTAGAATTAATATGTATATGCAGTCTGGCGAGAAACGGCGCTGCAGACTGCATTCGCAGAGTTGTACATGCAGACTGCGGCAGCAATAGTGCAGGAGGAAAGGAGGAGGGAGAGAGAGGGAAAAAGCTCACGTAGTCGGTGCCTTGAGCTTGCACGTACTCTCTCCGGGTATACGGTATAGTTTCTCTCAATCTCTTCTCTCATTCAAGCTTATACGGCCGTAAATCTCAATGAAAAGAGAGAGAGAGAGAGGCAGGCAGGGAAAGGCTTGTGTGTTCTTGAAGGCTTTGTGGCTTCTTGAAGCGTATGCTTATACCACTGCAACGGCAAATCAATCCTTAGCTCTTGCAGCGCTGCACCAGCAGGCGCTTATATACAGCATTGCCTCTGCCGCTGCTGCTCTTCTTGACTCCGACTGCTTTATGAACTTGCTCTTTTATTTCGAATTATTATGTAGTAGTCGAGCACGAATCCCTTGCATTAACAGCTTACATAAGCATGAATAATGCCTCGATACTACTTGTTCGCGCACGAGAGCGCCCCAGCCGAATACATATGTATATATCTCGAAGCTCCTCCTCGCAATAAACGTTTCTTCAGCTTTCGCAGACGCTCCGAATTTCGGATAATACGCGTAGTATAGTCTGCTAATAAGTCGGCGCAAAACTCGATGCTCGCGAGACTGGATGAATGTCTCTCCGCACTCGCACACGAATTTGCGTCCGCACTGCGCCGCGTACATTCGAAATAAATATATCAAACGCAACGATATCGTCGTTAAACTGTCGAGATTAAAAGAAAAAAAGAAATGATATATCCAGATTTTGATATACTGAGTCAGCGTATACACAAGCTGCTGCTGCTGCTACGACTCGTGTAACAGTAAAAACATAGATCAAACAACTCGATACAGTAGTCTTTCGATCAGTTGCAGTACGCAGCGATTATCCATCGTCGTATATAAGCTGCGTTATTTTTTCCCTCCTCTCTCCATACATTCTTCTTTTTTTGCTCGCGTCGACCTATAGAGTTTCTCGAAGCAAGACATCGTATATTAAATCGAAACGAAAGGATGATATTTCACGTTGCCTGTGCGCTACCTCGTGTCCATCAGATATGCTTTTCGCCCGTGTGCGCTGGCTGCTGAACGCGGAAAATGCATAAAATTGAGATAAATGCGTTCGTCGTATTTATAATAATAATCTGAAGTGTTCGGTCGTCGAGTCGTTTTGCTCCCATTGTACCTGTATATAGATATATGCGTATAAAAAGAACCTGTATACGAATAGCAGCGACAAAAAAAAGAAAAGAAAAAAACTAGGCTAAGTACCCCCGCAGCCATGCTCGCTCGCTCGCTCGCGCTTGCACAGCTGCTCTGCGCTTTTCTTTCGGCGCGCGCGCGCGCAACAAAGCTCGACGCTTATTGTTGCTCATGCACTGCTGCGCGAGAGAAGCTGTCGTTGATCTATAAATATAGTAGTATCTCGAGAGCATGGCACGAATCGAATTTTTTTCCTCTTCCTATATGTACCTTCGGTCGCAGTCGTCGTCTCGTCGTTCACGGCTGCTCTTCGCATGTATGCCGCGCGCTAACATAAATATGCACTATATTCTACTTTTCGTTTTCTCTGTGTGTGCATATATATATTTATGTGATACAGTGGGAGAGAGAGTATGCCATGTCGGAGGAAGATCGATGAGAGGGACGATTTTTGCTTGGGAGAAAATTTATATCTCCCGCTATTCAACGCTCGGAGAAAAAGTCGCGTACGTTAATTGTTTGTTCTCGTATGCATGAACGAGCTGCAGTACAGCATTTTATATTTTCATTTAACGCGAGCGGCCCAACTGGAATTAATTACGTTCCTTTTCAAATATTTCTCGAGCGCGAGTCTCGGCTGAATCTCATTCGGTCGACGATTTTCTTGAAAACCTTCGCTCTTGGATAACATAATACGCAATAGTTACGCGTGACCCGGTAATAAATGTATATTACAATAATGCGTTTTGCTTGTCTTGGCTTTTGCTTCTTCTGCCGAGAGCATATCAATCCGCTTCGCTACCTCTTTTCTCTTTAAACTTATTATTCCATCTGACACAATTTTCAAATGTATCTCGAGCTATTCTTTTACTTCTCTATTATGTACAGTAAAAGATACAAGCAAAGTTTCGAGTGTCACGAAAATTGGATGAATTTGGTCTTTGCTCATTGTTGATTGATGACCTGAGCTTTCATAATATACATGCACCATTGTGGATATATTCCAGCGAAGTAATTCATTTTATTCTTGCGTGCGGCGCTTACAATTTTCGATCGCTTTATTATTTCCATTTTCACGCGGCCCGAAAGCTCATTTGTTAAATTTATTCTATTAGAAATTCAATTCCGCGTCTGTGCGTAGCTCACGCGCATCAAGTCGTAAAAATGACTTTAATCTATCTAAATCTCGCATCGCGCATTTATATTGCAGCCCGAGAGTACTTTTGCTACTTTTTACATAAAGCTTAGCCCGGAATGAGCATTATGAAAATTTATCAATTCTGTTTCATAATAATTTCAGCTCTTATCAACGCAAAGTCTGTGCTTTACAAAATTCTCTTTTTCAAGGGGTAGTGCTCCTTTTTGCTGTATTATGTAAAAATGTATTTTGTCTCAAGACAATGTAATTTGCGAGATGTCAAATTTTATATTTTCGAAAATAAATTAATACTTATCATCGATTCAAATACTGATGATTGTTCATTCGCTTATAGAAACTGCCTTGTGGGAAAAGCTTACCACATCAAGATATCGGATTTCGGCACCGACAACGAATTATACTCTTGCGATTATTACAAAGTCGACGGAGGCATTCCACTGCCCGTAAGATGGATGGCTTGGGAATCCTTGGTGCTGGTGAGTACGAGAACAAATTGCAAGCTCATACGGTCTAATAGCGAGGCGCGATGAAAATTGGACGATTATTCTCGCAGGGCAAGTACACGACCAAGAGCGACGTATGGTCTTTCGCGGTGACGCTGTGGGAGATTTTGAATTTGGGCCGACGCCTGCCTTACGAGCATCTGAGCGACGAGGAGGTCGTGCGGGCGCTGCGCCGAGTCTGCCGCGAGTGCAGCAGTGCCACCAGCGAGGAGACGTCGCAGATGAAGAGCAGCGAAGACGAGGACAACGACGATAACGACGACGACGACGACGATCGCGAGCATCTCAGCCACGAGAGGGTAAAATGAAAAGAAAAGAAATAAAACGAAAGCAACGCGTATAGACGTACTAATTGGCTCGTTTCTAACTTGTAGATGGATTTCGAGCCGCTGCCCAAACCGACCGGCTCCTCCAAAGACATCTACGATCTCATGCTGGAGTGCTGGCGCCGAGACGACTCGGAGCGGCCGACCTTCCGCGAGATCTCGCTATTTCTGCAGCGGAAGAATCTCGGCTACGCGCCGACCACGGCCTCCTGATACCGGGACAGGGCTGATCATCAGCCGATCGCGCAGCAGCCGCTGCCGCCGCCACAGCAGCTCATGATCCATTCGTGTTGCAGTACAGTGGCGGCCGACGTGGAGCTCATTTCCGAGGCTTCGGCCAAGACGGCCTCCTCGGTCTCGTCGATATCCTCGACCTCGTCGTCTTGATCGAGACGTCAGCAGCAGCAACAGCCGGCGATGCGCTTCGATAATCCACAAAATGAGTTTTTCGTTAGACGAACGAAAATTTAAATAGAAAAGCTACAACTGGGAGAGGAAAAATGCGGTGCTATATAGCTTGGTAATTACTATTTGGGTAAAGCTCGATCGGCATATTAATTTTCTGTTAAATTGATCCATATTTGAATCCTGTAATCGTCAATAGTCTTGAAGGATATTTTCAGCGAAATAATTGCACTCCGACTGTGAACATTCCGGTATCAATTGCAAGTAGTCCATACCGAACCGATAAAAATTAATTGTGCTATTAATCAATAATCAGAAATGAAACGATTTTTTAATCTGCCCGGACTACCATGTAGGTGTAAATAATCAAGTTTTGACGTGAAAATTCTGTTATCAATTCTCAAATGATACAGTCAATATAGGATAAAAAGTGTTAAAGGATCATATTGACAATTTTATGCGACATAAAACACGCGCGCTCGTAGGAGAGTACCATAATTCATATAGCAATGACACATCATTACAGTTCATGAAATATGATAGTTGGGATCAATGAGTAAACGAAACAAAATATCTTGTGTATATTAAAAGTTAACTTATTTACCTATAGAGTATATTAAATTTGAAGATCTCAATTCAATTTTTACGTTTAAATTAATAAAAAAAAGCTGAATTCAGTATAAATTACGATATCAATCAACACAGGGAAAGAACAAAGATAAATAATAAATTCACGTGTATGCACAGACATATCAAGTCGAAAAACGAAAGAAATTATTTTTTACAAAATACTAAAAATGAATTCTTTCATAGGAAATTCATTTATAAATAAACAAGCAAAGATTAAACTATATGAAATATATTATACGAAAAAAGTAAAAGATTTCAAATTAATTCAACAAATCATTCACGAGCTGACTATGAAAAATATAAGAAAATATATAAAATTATACGTAGGAATGTCGTGCGTATAATTCAGCATAACGATCACAATATAATATATCAGTAGATTATTGCGAAGGTAGAAAATGTTACCGTTATCAATATTATGTATATAATAAGATTTATACATATAAGAAAAATGAATCGGAGTAGACTAAAAATATATATATATATATGACATATATAAGATTATAGAAAAATACTACGAAAATGACAAATTAAAAGAAATGACATTTTAAAAATAAGCATGACGCTGCCTTTGGCTGAAATTGTTGCCCCTAACTGCTATTGTACAAATCAGAAGTATGTCAATTGAAATATCACAAAAACATATGTATCCACAAGTTCATAACAGCAAATATTTCAATGACTATTTTTTTGATAGAGATAGGGTCGGAAAATAAATAATTTTCTTCTATTGGCATACTTCTTGATCTGTTCTACTCATGTGATAATTTGTATATCTCTGTACCTATACTGATCCTATTTGTAATGCCTAATGCTCTATATTGATTATTATAATTGTAGTAAAAAACTAAATAGCAAAATTAATTTTATTAATTTAGGTGATTTTTTCATTTGTTGTTATGCTTGATATATTTAGCTGCTTTGTGCCTAATTTTCAGTAACTAATTGATTATAGTAAATAAACCTATGTTTGACAATCGTGCTTAGGCCTTGAGACTGAATTAAAACAACACTATACCCCATGCTTTAAAGAGAATTTTTAGAGATGTATCATTATGTTTCTATTTAGAAGATGAACAGAATCTAAGTAAAAATAATTAATGCAAATTTTATTCGAAAATGCTCTTTTTGTATCTGATGCAACTGCTGTTATTAAAAATTATATTTTGATCTAGAAAATAAATACATTTATTACAACTTTTTTGATTAATGTATAAAAGAACAAATTTATGTAAAATATTATCATTTTGTGTATGATTGATTAATTGTGTTACTTTTGTAAATATTTAAAAGTATCTTCACTTTCACTGTAAGATAATTAATATAAAAAACTTACCTAGTGTGGGCATCACTTATAAAAGTGTAATGTATGTACAACGATTTAGAGTAAAACGCATCTGTATATTGTGAGAGTATACTGGATAAAAAATTTTACTAGCATGTAAGACTGTAAAAAAAAATAAAATATAAGCTTACTAGTCATTAAACACTTTGTTTCATCATAACAAATGTCATTATTTGTAAATTTTATTGAAAAATTGGGTTCTTAGTTTTACATTAATTTAATTAATCAATTTTTTTATTTATTATTAATTTATTTTATTTAGAAATTATAAAATTATAAAAATAAAAGTAACAAAATATTCATAAATATTATTTTACCAATATTACGTTGATTTAAAAATTAATTAAAGCACTTCATTTTCTTTATTTTTTGAAGTTTCATTTATAATAATTTTCACTAATGAAAATGGAAAATAATTTGTAATTATAATTATTTCAATAAGACTGTATATTAATACAAAAACTCAAGCAACAAGTGTTCTGTTTGTTAAAAACTTCAATAGCTACAATGTAATTGTAAAATGAATAAGAAAATAAAAATATTAAATTTTATGAAACAAATAACACAAAATTGCATTCTATTTTATTAGTTACAAAATTAAAAACTAATTTAATTGAAGAATGAAGTAATTCAAAAACAAATCATTTTACTTAATAATTTTGTCAAGTGAATGAAAATAGAATAATAAGGGTGCTATTTTCATAGATTACTATAAAATCTAGTTAATGCCAAAAAGGTTTGGTTTCATAATATAATTTGAAATATAAATACTACCAACTAAAGGCAGTAATAAGAAAAACCAACGATAATTTTTTCCTTTTTGACTTTTATAATTATTATCACCAATGTATAAAGGATGATTTGTTAACTGAGCGTTTTTCTTGTTTTCTAAACTATTAATCTGCTTTGTCAGTCTGTATATGTGTTGAACTTTAAGTTTCATTTCAAGAAATGTACTAATCAATTGCTCCTTGTGTTCAAATTTTCCTTTGAACTCCACACTGTTGAAATATTTTTCACCATAGATTAAGTCTGAGTTGATGATTGATAATTGTTTTTTTATATTTCCCAAAATTAACAATACATTGAACGCTGTGTATGATTTTTTTGGGTCAATTATCATCATTTGGTAATTCCATCTTCTGCTATGAATTCTCCATAAGTTATCCCAAAATTTTTGTCTATGTACACTAATATCCATTCCTAATTGTTGTAATTTATTTTGATCCAATAACAAAAATTCTTTCAATTGCATACCTTTAAAACACTTCTTATAATGTTCTAGACTCATTCCATATAAGATATTATCAACATCAGAATCTATGCTATTTGAATCAATTTTTTTGTCATTGAACATATCAACCCAAGAAAGATAGTGAATAACTTCAATAATTTCTTCAATTTTGTCTTGAATATCTAGTATTGGTAATAATTGGTTGAACCCCTTGCACATAGCAATATCATAAGGGAGATCATTGCGTCGAGTTCTCAAAGCAATGTCGGCACCATTGTGAATAAGAAGTTCCACTAATTCAAGGTTGTTGGCTTTGACAGCAAAATGTAATACAGTTTGGTTCTCGTTGTCCATTGCATTTATGTTTTCAGTCCATTTTATAATTTCCTTAACAAAATCAAGATCTTTGTCTTGAAATTCATTGCATGCATACATGAGACATGTTAATCTGCATTTATCAGTAGCATTAACATTAGCATTTGCTTTTATAAGATAGTTTAAACATTTGAGACGTTCTTCATAAATTTCTGCTCCCCGAGCTTTGCAAAGGGCCATCAATGGTGTAAAAGCATCGTCATCCAAATTAGTGTCAGCTCCTGAATCTATCAAATACTTGACAATATCTGAACTAGCTTCCATGCATGCATGAATGAGCAATGTCCATCCGTCTTGTAAAAAACTATTAATTTTCTGTCCACTTTGTAAACACTCCTTGATAGTACCAAGGTCATTATTCTTACAAGCATTTGAAATGAATGAATGATCAAGATGTCCATTGTGTTCTATTTTTGTATCATTTGATAAAAATTCCCTGCGGTAATCAAACATCTTTTGTGAATAATCAAGCTTTATTCCTCAAAATTTTTATAACTAAATTCGAAAATCAATTTCACAGGCACGTGTCGGGAGCAAATGGGTTGATCAGGTTTGGCCCTTTGTTTGAAAGTCTGCTTTGAACACAAAAAGCCGGCCGATACTGACCTCTATGTCGATTTGGACAAATTTGAAAAGTACAGCTAATATAACTATATTTATAAGTAGCAGACGAAGTGCGCGGGAAGCTTTCCGTTGTCTAGAGCTGTGTTATGTGTGCGAGTTTTGCGATTTTGAACCGAATTCAAAGTTATTGAACTCGCCCTGACATCATCAATAAAGTTGAATCAAGATAGATGATTGCTAATTAAGCACTACTTTTTCAACGGCTATTTTATGGAATTGCATATGACAGGCGAGTCATAAAATGATATTTATACGATAAATCAACTTTTTTTTTCACTATTAAATTAAACCACATTAAGTTTTACCAAATGGATATGGATAAACATTTATAAAAATAAGAATTTCGATCATGAATTTGGTTAGAAACATTATTGTGTCTTACTTTTCAAATTCATGAGCTTCGTTTATAATCTAATCTGTATTTTTTAGAGAATTCTCTGGTGATTAAAATATTGCTATCAAAGGTTTGAAAAGATACAATGTTTTATCCTACTGTTAATCACAGTCATTTATGATGGCCTCATTAAAATATTGGTACATATTTTTATTAATTGGAACGATTCAATTCAAAACAATTAATTCTTTGCAAGCATGTAAACCAAAAATTGGTGAGTTGAATGAATTAAATAGTTCAAATAATTTATGTCGATATTAACACATACTTCTACACATTTTAGCAATCATTGGAGCTGGAATAGGTGGATCCTCAGCAGCACATTTTTTAACTAAACCCTTCAGAAATGCAGAAATTCATGTATTTGAAAAAAATGTTGTTGGGGGACGTTTGTCGCTTGTCAAATTTGGAAATGAAGAATTTGAAGCTGGAGGAGCAATCATTCATCCTCGTAATAAATACATGCAAGAATTTGTTAAACTTTTAAACTTATCTGCTCGACCCCCTGCCTCTGTTGGTGGAAGGTTTGGAATATGGAATGGCAAAGAATTAGTTTTCGAAGAAAGTAGTTGGGATACAGTGACAATGTTAAAACTAATTTATAGATATGGATTTGATCCCATATATCTTTATAGATATATAAATAATATATTAGATGATTTTGAAAGAATTTATGATTTTCAAAATAAAGGTATAGGTTTTGACAATGTAACTGCATTAGTACAAGCTATGAATCCAGATTTTATTAATTTACTTCAAACGCCAATGGAAAAACATTTGACTGACTTGGGATATTCATCAAAACTAATTAAAGAACTAGTAGAAGCAACTCTTGTTGTTAATTATGGACAAGACATCGATGTGCATTCTTTTGTAGCATCTGTTTCTATAGCAGGAGCAGGGTTTGATTTGTGGTCAGTCAAGGGTGGTAATAAAAAGGCAAGAAATACTCTTATACAAATTTATTTTCAATTAGCCAATTATTTTCAATAATATATATACTTCTACAGGTACCAGAAAAATTAATTCAAGAAAATGATCAAGTTACCTTAAAACATTCAGCTGTCAAAAAAGTTCGTAAATCTATTTTGAATGACAAAGTCAAGTATGAAATCACTTATACTGAAATAGGTAAACATTGAATTATTCCTTTATCAATTCTCAGGAAAATTTAAAGAATTAATATATTATTTTCAGATAAAGAAACTGACTCTACTTCAGAATATGACATTGTTATTATTGCTGCTCCTATGACTAATGATCATTTCAGTTCTGTTATATTTGAGGGCTTTGATGATGATTTAACATTTTCAGGAACATATCAAACTACAATAGCAACGTTTGTCTCTGGTGAAGTTGATTTTTCTTACTTTGATCTAGATGAAGATATTCAAGGAATTATGAGTTGTGAACCTGAAAAAACTATTATCAGTTCAATTGGTAAACTATCCTCTGTTGAAGGAACTAAGAATCCTAAGACTAATATATGGAAAATCTTTAGTAGAAAAAAACTGAATCAAACCTTACTGAATAAAATGTTCAAAAATGTAAGTATATATTCAAAACTATTAATTAAAATTAGAAAGTTGTTAATAAAATATACATCTTTTATAGATTGAAGAAATTCAAGAAATCAGTTGGAAAGCTTATCCTAAATATTCATCATCGTTGAGGCTGGATAAGTTTAAACTTGATGACGCAATGTATCATGTAAATGCAATTGAGTGGGCAGCAAGTGCAATGGAAATGAGTGCTATTGGTGGACGAAATGTTGCTATCTTAGCTTACAATGATTACAAAAGAATTTGTTCTGCAGTCAACACTATTACAACAACTACGACTGCTTCCTCAGAATTATAATGATAATTTTGATGAAATAATTCAACCGTTAGTACCAATATAAAATAAATATTATTTTATTGTTAGGAAATACTATTTTTATATCAATACAAAGAATCTGTCAATAAAAAATTATTGGATGATTTCGTATTTGCCGATTCTTGATTACAGTTTCTTTGCAGATTTCTACCTTACCAATCGTACTTGACACATACAAGCGCAGTATTTATTGCTGTAATGTGACTGTGTGTACCGTCGATATGTTGTGACATATATATATTTGTATATTGGTATATTGGTTTTGTAGCAAGTGTCTCAAATATGCATCTAATACATGTACTTGAAAAATAGTATTTGTGCTATTATATAGGAAGTCTGGTCAATAAATATTCCATTGGGTGAGTACTATACTTTATCAATTATTTTTACGAAGTTTTTCTTAGTGTATACGTATAGGCTAATTGAGGTTAAGTAAATACTGAAAATAACATCAACTAAAAGTTGGAAATTTTCACCTTTGACTCATTTAGATTGTTTATCAAAAACGTGACGAAAAAAACGATTAATCTCACAAAAAGATAAACTTTTTGTACTATGATAGTTTCTAAAACCATTTCTTTACATGTTATGTATTTTCTGTTGGCGTTATCCTTTTTCTGTTCTAAAATTGTATGAAATTGATATCATTGATTTTCTTGTTATTGAAAGAATTAATATTTCATTACTTTTGTTCATTAGGATCAGATTTTACAATGTACTGTTAGTTTTTAAACAGTTAATTATAGGCTGACATCAATTTCTTGAAATTCAGTTCATAGAAAGAGCAAGGCAACATTTTTAGCTCCACTTCATTGAACGTTTAATAAACTGAACTTTTAATAAACTTAATTTTTTGTTTACTGTTTGATAAAGAAATGAATTATAGTAAGATAATGTAGGTAGCAGTCTTAAAGATTTTTAAAGAGAAAATAAAATTTTGTTGTAAATATATTTATTAAGTAATTATGACAATATAGCAAATTAGCAAATATGAGAAATTTCATATTATGCTATCTATGCTTTGTATGATTAAAAATAATTATATATTTAAATATTGAATCAAAAAAATGTTCTTTAATCTGCTATAAGAGCTTTGTAAACCCTTAAATAGAATCGAACATTCAGCAGTGATATGAGCATAGTCCTGTACGATTAGACCAATCAATTTCTTAAGCTAATTTTAAATAAGTATATTTATTGTTATGAAAAAAAAATTTTTTTAAAATCATAATAATTGCTATTCATCATGTAAACTTTAATTTGCTAATATTTTAAAATTGTTATTCAAAATTAAAATCGACTCATGACAATTGAAACTTGAACTGATTTATCGTGTGTAAAAAATTTTTTTATTTAATTTAAATTTTAACAATCTTTCAACGTGTTTTTTTAATATCGTTTTATTGTGTTCTTTTTTAATCTCTCATTAAAAAAGTAATTTATTTGTTAAAAAATTTATCAAAAAATGGCAAATACTCCGTTATAGTTACATAATTACCGGAAAAACCATATTTACAGAATGTAAAAATTTTCGTCAACTTTAAGAACCCTTATTAGTTCTTTGTGTATTGTTAGGCAAGAATATAGCCACGAGTTCCATAACTCACGTGGCACTTGGGTGCAGACATCGCATGTCCAACAACGTGATGTTAAATCGTTATTGCATAGCAGATATCCCATTTATTATTTCATTCGTAATGTGATATTTTCCTTACGTAACAATTTCGAAAATGCTACATGAATTCGATCTCGATGAAAATCGACGATTAAAAAATAACAGAGTCAAAAGTTCGTTCGTTTATATTCACCCCAATGTATTAGTCAAGTTTTTCCCACGCAGCATTTGCTCAAGATGAGAATTAAAAGCTTTTAATTTAAATATAGTTAGGGATCCAAAATAAGGTTTTGGAGATTTTGAAACAAATACTATTTTATTATATCCCATTATTGTCTCTCTGCTTTATACGATTTACAAAAAAATATTTTAATTCATGACCAGAAATATGTTACGCTTCTAATATCGCTTTTACCATAGGAAAAATTTTTCAAAGATCATATGGCCATAATAATCAAACTCTAAAAGCATAAAATATTAGAATTACCCTGAATAAACCCAACAAAATGAAAAAAAACTCATGTGACTCGGACCGCTACAAGTACACTAGATGTGAAAGTGTAGAGATTTTTGTTGTACCGTAAAAAGCATTGAGACAAAAAAGTCCATGCCTCAAGCTTGAATGAAAATGATGCTAAACATGGTAAAATTTCTACAGGTGTATAAGCATATAAATCAAAGAATCGGCTGGCCAAGATGTCCAGGAGAAATCACATCAGGCCTCTGATTCCCGATCTGAAGGGGGGTTATCGACGCACCAGATTCTCAAGTCCCAACGAAATTCCGTCATTGTTGAGCGGACCAGTCATCAGAGGGCCGGCGCCAATGAGAAAGCCACCCGAGAGATACGGCTACGATTCCGAGGATGAATTTCCTGCAGAATCCAGGGCGGCCTCTCTTGCTCCTCCGCTGCCGCCGCTGCGTAATTTTCCCCGTCGCGCGAGCCGCTTTCATCCTTACGAAAATATCAGCCGCTTCTCCCGCCTAGAGGCGGAAAGATCGAGCCCCTCAAAATCAAAAGAAATACCGTCGTTGCTTGACCCGAACGTGCAAATGAAACCACCGCCTCTGATACCCCCCGCCACGGTGCGAAAATTGCGAGAGTCGCTTCGAGCCATCGAGGCTGGCGATAATTTTGGCGAGAGATACGCTGGCCCCTCGTCTCGAATGAGCGATTACGCCAGAGAAGAGCAGGAGACCAAACAAACCATCGAAGAAATTATCAAGGTGGCCCAAGCGCTCAAGGAACAGCTCTCGCGCGAGGACGCTAGTCAGCGAGTTCCCCACCTAGACGACGAGTCCGAGAGAGACTCGTGCGACGAATCGTCATCTCCCAGTCGTTTCTCCGGAGGCAGGCCCTTCGCGAAAACCCGACAAGATACGCCTAGGCCGCGACCCGATCCCTCCAAGCTTCCGCGACTGATGGACTTGAAGCCGAAAATACCGAGTCTCCTCGACATACGCATCGGTCTACCAACGCCGCCTCCTCCCATCGCGGACAATTTTAGGGAAAATATCGTGCCGGCCGCGAGAAATTATCTGACTTATAACGACCGATCGCAGGAAAACTGCTGGAATTGCAATGAGAGGGGCCATTATTACGAGGAGTGCGGCATTCCCAGAAGAAGACGATTTTGTTTTCAATGCGGCCAGACCGGAGTCGACGCTTTCTCTTGTACTCGTTGCAATTTAAACTAGAGACATTAACAGACTGCATTAATTTTAAGCCTTATTAGAAAGTATATAAAAAGCCCTTATGAGAGAATTTTGGGTCAACGCAAATGTTGACGAATCTATTAGATTTAAAATTATTTTTCATCGAGTTGTATGAAAAAATACTCTACATCGCAAGAACTAATCCTGTGAATTTCGTTAGCTTAGGAGTTTGTAAGGTGGTTAAACCTCACAGTACATGATCATAGTCATTAAATTTTCGTATTTACAATTGCACCTATTTTACATTTAAAACTTTAAATTGTTTAAAATATAATTCTGAATGATTTAATCCTTGTTACAGAATACGAACTTGAAATTAGTACTCTAGTTGAGACGAACTGACATATTTGTTATTGTGTTAAATTTTCTGGAATCACATAATTATTATGTATTTACTTTTCTCGTATTTGTTGTCAGGATATTTATAAATTACTATTAATAACTGTGCCTATTATAATTCAATGCTAGCCTATAATAGTTGCATTACGTTATGGTAATTTTGGTGATTTTCTTCCATCTGATCAAACTCAATTGATCAATAATGCGAAGTTACTTCAATAAACTAGTGAGCTTTCATTTCTACTAATAGAGACATTATCGATGATATATTTTGCTTTACAATCAATGAAAATGATTTATAAATTTTCATGTTACAAATTATTTATTGTAACAATTTGGCAGGCATAGTGTAGTTAGTACATTCCTAAATGAAGCGAGAATGTATACTAACGATATCCTGCTGTTTTGCACAAATGTAAATCATCGCATCCAATAAAAATAGTCATATTTTTTCACGATAATTATCTCATATCTTCTTATATGTACGCATTCATGAAATAATTGAATCAATTTTTCGTGCTTGATACTGAATAAATGTGATATTAAAATTCGATAATCAATTATTGTTATTAAGTTACCTCATTACACAAAAATTATCTTTTCATTTCTTTTTTCCGTTTGCTTTTCCCTAATGATTTAAACCTTAGTAAAGAGTTGTATAACACAAAAGACGTTAATTGAATTGATCGTACTCATTTTACGTCATTGCGTAAGTCATTATTTGAATTTAATGCACAGATCTCTCATCACAACTATAAAGAGTCATGTGGCATTATTTATATTAGAGTACATTGAAATCAAGTCATCAAGTTTGATTTTTTACGTTTGATCGTTTAATACGCCTTTCGTTTATTATGTAACATTTTAGTTCGATTTTTGTAATTACGATTTTCCAAATTTAGGATTTCTTATTCAAATGAAACATTGAAGCTAATTACAATCGTTATTCGGGTTTATATTAAATTTTAAAATAACAAAGAGATAACTTAATCAGCGTAAGTCCGATAGATTTCAAAATTTACTACTTTAAGGAGGCTCGAGCGAAAATGCATTTGTAAGCCGCGGGACTAAAATGTGGAGAAATGATTTATTACAATCATACAAATTGATAGTAAAATATGTGTTAACGACCTTATTTAAAAGATATATTAATGTAAAGTTTGTTAATTTAACATGGGCTCTTCTGGAAGCTTCTAATTTTTAGTCAAACGAGGTAAATGACCTATTAATTTAAAAATTTATTATAATGTAAACAGTTGATACTTGGATTCCACAATGTTTGCGCGACGCAACAACTATGGTTAATGATAGATTTTTTTTCTGAAATTTACTAAATTATTTGATTGAAGAATTTAAAATATTAAGTATACAAAAAAATTTAATAAATTTGTTATTTTCAATAGGGCGTTTTCACAAAGCGTTACTGACGGTCAGGATTGAACAGCTGATTGGCTGTAGGCACAACAAACCAAGTTTCCATATACTTTATATGTTAAGTAGATTACTTTAACTGCAAATTACAAATAAATGAGATGCTCTAAAAATATATAAAAAATATGTCGATGTAGAGGAAGACTTCATCTTTTCATCTATCGAAGCGGATTTTACGATTTCTCTTTAGTTATTGCAAAAAAAATTGTTGAAATTTTGGTCATTTCAGAGTTTAACTCGCTACTCAGCTGCTGTCAACACTGACTGGCGCGTGTCTGTGATTGTTTTAGCGATATTTGAAAATACATTTAAATATTAAAGAATGAGTATATTGCCTTTTTCGACTCAGTTCCCTTAATTCTTCAGAATTTCTATCATTTTTCGGCTTTCCTGTTGGTATACAAAAGAAGGAAAACTTTCCATTTTGTGAATTTGCTTTGCATCCTGTTAAATAACACCTCAACACCATTTTTTATTTTATGATTGCAGATTGATAAAAAAAAACGAAATCAAATCTCAAATATCGCTAAAACGATCACGGACACGCGCAACTCGGTGTTGACAGCAGCCGAGCAGCGAGTAAAACTCCGAAATAACCGAAATTTCAACAATTTTTTTTGTAATAACTAAAGAGAAATCGTAAAATCCGCTTCGATAGATGAAAAGATGAAGTCTTCCTCTACATAGACATAATTTTTAGAGCATCTCATTTATTTGTAATTTGCAGTCAAACTAATCGACTTAACATATAAAGTGAATGGAAGCTCGGTTTGTTATGCCTACAGGCAAATCAGCTGTTCGAGTGAAGCGGTTAGTGACGGTCTCTGGAAACAGCCTATAGGCTATTTTCACAGTCGTCAGTGTCGGTCAAAAATCGACCAGCTGATTTGACTGGAGGCCAAACAAAGCGACCGCCCGTATACTTTACATGTTAAAGTTGGTTGGTAAAAGTACTTATAATTAGTTTAACGCTCAGTAAAAAAATAAACAAAAAATATCTGGAGAAAGCGGAAAACCTTGTGTATCGAAATATCGAAGCGGTTTTTAGTTAAAAACTTTAGATTGTAAATAATAAAACATTGAAATTTCCGCTTTTTTGTCTGTGATATTGTCAATAAACTCTAATAAAATAGTTATTAAAAGTGGTTTTTTGGGTTGCAATACAAACCCTCAAGCGGAGAATTGTTTATTCTTTCAAATTACCAATGAAAAACTAAAAAACAATCGTAATTTCGAAAAATTATGAAAATGATCTCGCAATCGTCTTCCAAACTAAGTCTGCTGTTGGTGGAAAGATAATATTCTTAATTACGATTGTTTTTTAGTTTTTCATTGGTAATTTGAAAGAATAAACAATTCTCCGCTTGAGTGTTTGTATTGCAACCCAAAAAACCACTTTTAATAACTATTTTATTAGAGTTTATTGACAATATAACAGACAAAAAAGCCGAAATTTCAATGTTTTTTTATTTACAATCTGAAGACTTTAACTAAAAACCGCTTCGATATTTCGATACACAAGGATTTCCGCTTTCTCCAGATATTTTTTGTTTATTTTTTTACCGAACGTTAAATTAATTACAAGAACTTTTACCAATCAACTTTGACATGTAAAGTACACGGACGGTCGCTTTGTTTGGCCTCCAGTCAAATCAGCTGGTCGATTTGTGACCGTCACTGACGACTGTGAAAACAGCCTATAAGATTGCGTCATGCACCGGAAACGCTACGTAGAGAGCGCAATTGTAGACCAGCTATCCACACTCGAGCCTCCACAAAGTAAAGCCGGGCAGATGTAGACGCGCGTAGAAAACATCTGCCATTAGCATCTGCCATGTCACCAGCGTCGTTTGCCTCGCAAAAATATTTGTGAAGAAGAGAAGTCATTTCTTTTGAGTTTTCCAAATTTGGATCGGCGCCCCGTGCATTTAGAAGGGGCGCCAATACAAAATTGGGAAATTCGGAAGTTTATGCAGCGAAATCCGTCAACTTGTAAGAGCTGATTTTGTCCGTCAATGATTTTGAAGAACAGATGCGCCAAGTTATGGTTATGACGGAAATACTTTCCGAGAACTCATTTAAAAAGATGGAAATCTTGTTTTTAATAAAGTTTAGAAAATAGTTCAGTCACAAAAATATTAATAATCTAAAGAAATTAATTCATATGTAATAAAATGTAATAAAATGTTTGTAGGTGTAATGAAGCAAACGCTTCAGCGTCCAGTCCCACACGATGAAATTTTTTCACCAATAAAAAATTCCAGACTCGAACATATGTACTTATGAATTTCCTCAAAAATGGAGTGCCTAATACGAATAGCTATTGTGGCTTTTCTTTGCACAAACTATTGCCTCGGTGACACATGTTCATCGGAATCTTGTCCAAGCGAATCGAAAACTAATAGATATTCTAAAGGTTAGTTTTTTTTTGTTATTTTTTTGTACTTTTGGTATTTTTTGGCTAGGTATCATTCGTACACATGAAACTTGTACACGGGCATTTCTGTACACAAGTAAAATTCAAAAAAATAAAAAAAATAATCGTAATCGTAATTTTTTGAATTAAAAAGTTCGATTATGTGTTCAAAAATTGGACACTCTTTACTTGTGTACAGAAATGCCCGTGTACAAGTTTCATGTGTACGAATGATACCTTGCCTATTTTTTGTATTATTATAAATTATTTCAATCAATATCAATTTGTTGTACTACCACTAATTTCAAAATATTTTTCGTAGATGCAAATACCAAGTATGCAAAATATTACGCAGCCATTGAAAAAGCCGAGGCCAATTATATCGAGTGTAACTCGTCAGGATGCAAATGTTTCGCAGATGTAATGTCGAGAGACTTAGATGTTTTTTCCAAACGAAGAATCGACCAAACATTAATTCAGAATGCTAAATCTAGGTGATTTTTGCTTAATTTGAATATTTATTCTATTTTCTTTGATTCATGTAACTTTTTTGGTTATAGAGGAACTCTTTATCAAATAATCAGTGGTCAGTTGTATAGACAAAAAGATTGTATGTTTCCGTCTCGATGCGCTGGAATTGAATATTTTCTTACAAGGGTCATAACCAATACCACAAATTTAGAGTTAGTTATCAATACTCGAGATTACCCTCAATCTGGTAATCATTTCGGCGAACCACTACCCATTTTTTCGTTCAGTAAGGTACATTTTTTTTGTTACACGAATATTTTTAGCATTTTTACCATTTATGATAATTTATGATAATTTATGATAAAATCACATAACATTCTTTTATAATTTTAGACGCCTGACTATAATGATATAATGTATCCAGCCTGGGCATTTTGGGCTGGTGGTCCTGCAATTAGTCTTTATCCAAATGGTTTGGGAAGATGGGATACACATAGAGTTACACTTGATGATGCTAGACAAAAATTTCCATGGGATGAAAAAAGGGATGTAGCTTTTTTCCGTGGATCTAGAACTTCTTCGGAGAGGGATAATTTGGTTCTTTTGAGTCGAGCCAAACCTGAACTCGTCGAAGCGCAGTATACCAAAAATCAAGCTTGGAAATCCGAAAAGGTCTAATATTATTACATTTTATTTTTTAATTCAAGACTCACAATTTATACTGAATTCCAAAAAATTACTTTAAAGGATACTTTAAACATGCCGCCAGTCAAAGAAGTGGCCTTAGAAAAACACTGCGAGTATAAATACCTGTTCAATTATCGAGGCGTTGCAGCTTCATTTAGACACAAACACTTATTTCTTTGTGGGTCTTTGGTATTTCACGTTGGCGATGAATGGAAGGAGTTTTATTACGACGCTTTGAAGCCGTGGATTCATTACATTCCAGTGCAGCCGAACGCATCGCCCAAAGAATTAGAGTAATATGATTATATTTTTATTAGATTAATAAATCAATATTTGATGTCATCTAAAAAACTTATTTTTTGACTGTTTAGAAATCTTATCCGGTTTGCTCAAGACAACGATGCGATTGCCAAAAGAATAGCTGAAAGAGGGCGGGATTTCATTTTTGAAAAATTGACACTTGAAGATGTCATGTGCTATTGGAGAAGACTGATAAGAAGATATGCCAAATTAGTTGATTACAAACCAACAATGGCAAAAGATATGATTTTGATTAAAAAATCAAAATCAACGCATTAAGTTCTCTTTAAAAAAGTGAATAGTTATAATGTGATGCGAAGTGTCTTATATTTTTTATACCCTTAAATTTAAGATATTAATTTTTGAGAAAATTTTATGAGAATTTTAAAATTCAAAAATTTACAAGCCATTGTTAATAGTAAAGTACTTTAATACTTCTTTGGATATTAAATAGTTGAAAAGAATTGTGTACTTTCGATAATTATTATACCTAAGATTACTAGCTCTAAAATACTAAAATCACTCAACGCCTTGTAAAAATAAGTGTCATTAATTTTTGAATACAGAATAATTGAATAATATGAATCGAAAATATTTTTTTTTCAAAAGAATGAATGAGAGAAAGTTAAATTAATTTATAAATTTAAATTAAATTTAATCATCAGCAATTTTAGAGTGTTCTGCAATCCAATCAGCGTAAAATAATACATCCGTATAACCATTTGGAAGATGACGTATACCCAATCCGGTAACAAATACGCCTACTTGGATTCCCCTGTCATTAACCAAAGGGCTTCCCGAATCTCCCTATATAAATAATAAATTTATGAAAATGATAAAAATATTTAGCTTGAAACGAAATTATTGCAATGATTTTCTTACACTGTCGGGTATTTGAAAGCTTACAGTGCACATCATTCCATCGTCAAGGTAATAATTATAAAATTCTGGAGTCCATCTTTTCTCACAATCTTCTGCATTCATATATAATAAACGTGCGGTACGCAAATCGTTTGATGCAACATGACTGCCTTTCTGAGAAATGAAATAAATTGTACATTCAGCAACTGATACTTTTCAATATAATTTGAATAAAAATTATTTTACTTCACTGATGCCCCAGCCTGTTAATTTGAGAATCTCATCCTTTTTGGGATAATCATCTTTACTTGTAATTAATTTTATTGGTTGCACTCTATCGTTGAATTCAATGTCTTTGTTTAATCGAATTAATCCAATATCGTATTGATTAATATGTGTTGGCTGGTACTGTACAATTAATAAATTTATTTGATTTATATGTATTCTTTTTGTTTTTTGGGAAGATCCTGAAGCTAGGGTTTAAGTAAGATTTTCGAAATGTGTTTAAAATGGTAATTCCGTGAATGCCTTAGTTGTGGTATTTCTTAAACTTCCATATATCTTTTGAAAAATATACATAAGACAATTAACACATTTTTTTCTGAAAATTATCACTTATACTCTGGCTTCAGTTTTATCTCGGTAACTTAAGTTAATGAGTTTTATCGAATCGTTTTATAAAATTAAAAATACACCGTTTGGTAAAGTAATACGTTTTTCACTCACTATATTATATTTTTCATGATTAATTAGCTTTTCGGCTTCTAATGTGATTCCTTCCTTATCATCTAATCGATTAATGCCGACCACAATTTTTAATGTATCTAAATCCATTACCCTGATTTCAATGAAAAAATAAAAATAAGAATTATATTTGTTCGTGGATGAATTAGAGCTTTAATTTTTCTCATCGTGAAAAAAGAGTAAAAAAATACCCCGTTTTGTCCCCATTTTCATCTTTGTATGTTGGATGCTCCAAGCAATGAGCTGCTGTTAATAAATAACGTTTATTGATGATCGACGCTCCACAATAATGAAAAGATGTTTTTTTATGTTGTAATGAAACCATGTACGGAAACATTCCTTCTTCAGCTATGGTTCCATTTAGAATTCGTTCTTTCGCTTTCAATGGGCCTACGTTCAATTATTTTTATAATAAATATAACTATTTAAAATTATTAATATGTAAAAAATTATGAATTTACCTGCATAGCATACCGATAAAAGAGAAAGTACTACTAAACATAAAACTTTATAATACATATTTATGGTTCTATATTTTTCCGCAAGTATAATTCACAAAATATTTCTTAATAACGTTTCACGCCCGAAGATAAAAATACGACTAAACGTTTTGCGCAATCCATTGTTTTTTTTATAGATTATGTTATCTATATATTAACATCTAAATTTTCCATCGTCTTCCAATTAAGATCGATTGTTTTTTAATGTAGAGAATTGTAAGAATTGAACTTGCTTTGAGTTATAACGCCAATAATGAAAAGCCAAAATTTTAAATTTCTTTACTACTTATAATTGTGATAAATTTAATGAAGCCTACTAAATCATTTTCCTCGTGTTACTAAAACGATCGTGACTTAACTTTATCAAATACGTCGCAATATTCAAAATAATTATCGCGTAGCTAAAATTACTACTTCCACGCTTTACCTAACGATTACCGTTTAAATTTGATCAATGTGAGTTGAAAAAAAAAATGTTTAACATAAAACGTAACAAACAATTGAATTAGGCTTTAATGACGTACGTTGCTTACGCAGTCTCAGATACAAATACATTTGGCCAGCTAATTGGCCAGAGATACGGGTTATCTGTAAACAACGTTTACGTAATGTAAACATTCCATGCGATCGCAAACGAGGCATTAATCTACATATCAACGTACTTCACATTGTCTATTTAAAGGACATATATCATCCGATCTTTCAGTCTGAATAATTTGTAAAATGATAGCAATTTGTCAGGCAAAAGATCCGATTAATTTGTAAGATTTGTCACGTAACGTTTTAATACTAAAATGCGCGTGCGATCCATGAACTAGTGGCCTCGAAGCAAAACATCTGTAACCGGTGTGAACAGTAACCAGCAGAATACGAGGGAGTTAAAAAGGTGCGCTTAGGTGGGGTACACACGAGAGATGCTCGGAAAGTACACAAGTTCGGAGGAAAAAAAGGAGGAAGAAGAGACGCTTGTGGATGAAAGAGAATACGAGAGAGGTGTAGAGTCGCAAGCCGTGCGGCACACAGTGCGCGCGAGTAGTACGTCGTCCGTATAAAAGGGCCCTTGCCGTGCGATACAGCCGCCGGTGCATCATCGACCGAATCTCCCGCATCTCTCGCGACGAACGAGCCTCCGAGCGGCACGAAGGTTTCTGGCCTGGCCTGCATCGGGGTCGAGCTGAGTGGGTGACATCGTGCATAACGAAAATCCACCTCCCGAAAAACGCGTGCAGCTCTCCAGCTCGACGCTATACCCGTGTCTCGATTGTCTGACCATATGCTGAGTTTTTTCACTCGATGATTTTTCAAGTTTTTCTTACGCTTCTGCAACACGCTCGACTTCTCCGCTGCGAGGCAAAGAGAAAAAATCTCGCAGTCAAGAATAAAATGAGCTTATTGCCGGTACAAGGGTACTCCGGAATATATTGCTCGAGAAATAACTGGAAAAAGGGAGAGAGATGAAGAGCGGAGCGAATGAAAAGGTATAAACAAAAGGCGAAAAAATTATCAAGAGGCGCTGCTCTGGGGCGCGGCGGTGGACAAGCGTGTATGGCTCCGAGCCCGACGTTGCTTATCTCCTCGATGTGAATAATTTGAAATGCTGAGTCAACGAAAGAACTCGAGTTTGATTTGCATGGACGATGGCTCGCGCAGATCTCTTATTTCTTTTATTTCTAGTCCATGTCTTGTAATCATTTGAAATTTAAATCGAGCCGGAGCCGCGCGATGCAAATGATAAAAACCGTTGTAATTTTTCGTCACGTTTTCTTTATCTCGTCTATCTCTCTCTCTTGTGACTGTGCTCAGCGAAGAACGACTTTTTGAAAAGAAAAATATCCTGTTTATCAGAGTTCATACGCCGAAAAAAGGAGAGCGTATTTTCGGAGTATAATAACATTTTCTTTCTACGCGGTAGAGTTAGGCAGCGCGGCATATAGCTATTGAACGAGTTTTTAACTCGAAATGAAAATTCTTTCAGTAATTTATTCATGCAACGCCGGTGCAGAGTTATTTTTTTTTACATTTTTTCGTTCACTCAATCACACGCGAACTGTTTTCGTATAAATAAAAAATAATAAAATACGACTATTCGAGTAGGAACGAACTGGTCGTATGTAAAGCTCGGGTCGGTTTTGAGCTTGGCCAAGGTTCAAACAGAATAACGGAATTAGCCACACGTATGATCCGGAAAGAAAAAGAAGTCGTGAAAAAGAAAAGTAGATAGGAATCTTGTCTGGTCGTCGCGCCTACAACATAAACGTGTGTTACGAACGAGTAGTCAAGATCAATGATTAGTCAGACACGTGTGGCATTTTCTCATTTTAAAGGAAGAAAGAGAAATCGATCCTCACGTTATTACGTGGCCAATTCTCTGGCTCGATCTTCCAGCGCGTGTGGTAGTTTACATACACGCGTTTTTTTTTTTTACACACGTACGTATTACAAGGGTGCAGACGAGAGTGAATGGGCGACACGTATACAGAGCGCGCGCCGCGAAACCGCGTGCTCGAAGCGCTCAGGATTGGCCGGGTGTCGAGCCAATGGCGTCGGAGCGCGCGCGTCGCTCGAGGGCTCGCAAAACTGTCCGCGCGTGTAGTCGATCTTTCGTCGTGTGTGCGCGAGACTCCGTCCGTGTGTGTACGTGTGTATCCTTTTTGCCGTGCCGCTGAAGCAGCTACCGTTGAGCTTTGTGTCGCGCTCGCGGGCGCTCAGTCGGCGCGTGTACCTCAGGCCGGATACGCGTGCACCGCCCCAGCTCCGACGAGTTCCTCGCGCGTCGTGTTTTATTCCGAGCTCCGAGCATTTGCCGCACTTTTACTACTACTACTACTAGTACTACTGTTCTTACATTAAGGACTGATTTTAATTTTCACGACTTCTCATCCGGAGCTAGAAAAAGTAGAAATCAACTTCTCTCAACGACAACGAAACCGTAAGTTTTTCTTCATTTCTAAGTTCTACGAAACATGTCAAATTATGAATTTTTCCAAGTATTACTTTGATTAATAAAAACATACCAGTGAAAATTTGCTGCTTAACTTATACTGTTTGTCGAACAAAATCCCAAGAAAATGTATGTTATGGTACACAAAGCGTGACGAATTAGCTCACCTCGTTTCTCGATTTTTTTCCTCCGAGGACTCGTAAAATTGTCAAGTATCTCGGCAAGTAAGGTTCAATTAAAATTCGTTTAAAACTTGAATATTTTGAAAATAAGCGCGTGGAACAAAGCACTCGCGCGCGCGACAAGGTCATCAAGTTGAGATACTCAAAACTTATCGAAGATATTTTCATTAACTTTCTTGCGCAATTAAGTTGGAAAGTTTAATTATTAAAAAAGTTTCAAGATTTAGATGTGAATATACAGTGGGAGCCGGAGCGCCTGTAATGAAATATGATAGGCGATGAGAACTCGAGTGTTGCGCAACGGAGTACTACTATAAGAGTATCGCAAAACATTTTTGCCCCCGTTAATATCATGAGAATTGCACATTATTCGCTTAAAATCTTACGGTATCGTGCACAAGTTTCTCGTTTTTCATCGCATGTGCGTACTTTATGTGCGAATATTGAATTTCATTCGAATAAAAAAAGTAACAACAACAACGCGAGGCAGCTGAAAATATACGCTGAACTAGTCATGTTGAAATAATTACGCAAAAACCAATTGAAGCCTCATTAATTTTTAATTTGATTTTGAAATAGCATGCATATACGCGCGCTGCGTGGAGGTCTATTATTTACACTCTAGAATTACGTTATCAACGTTGTTTTTTCTTTTCTCTTTAAAATATTCATATAATATCGCTCGTAACACATTTTCTCGCGATTTCCCTTACGTATTCATTCTCGGATTGGAATATTTATTTTATCGGCTGAGAGGTTATTGAATCGAAGTGGAAAACGTATAGCTTGTTATTAGCGAGGAAAGCCTAGATCTACATCCGCGTAATTATAAGCTTCGGCTCATTATGCGAATTTCTTGCGGGTTATAATATAAAGTCTATGATTAGTCGCTCATTCATTATGAACGATTCATATGTATGTATCGACAATCGGTCATTCGCTCGATCGCTGCAAAATCCAATGTTATTCGCTCGATTTAAACGGCCGAACGAAAATGAGCCTCGTCGATCGTTAATGTGATTATATGCGGCCGATGGCGAACGTCGAGAGTAGACAGCGAGCTCATGAATTCGTAATGCATCTCGTCGCGCGTGTGTGTATAAAAGAAAGATCTGTGTCACGCTAATTCGATCGATGCTAAAAGGCAGCAGCCTGCCACTGGGCTCGCGTGGGATGAAGCTCTCTTTCTGCGTCTCTTTACATATGAATCTGTGTATATATAGGCTCGCTTGCGCTCTTGTGTACTCCGCAGTCTGCACCTAGAGAATGTCTACGAGTCTTTTTTTCTTCTCGACTCTGTCTCGACTTCTCTTTCTCTCTCGCCACCTTCGTATAATGCTCGCATCTTTTATCAGCGAAACAAAATCGCAATTTGTTACTGCGCCGAGAGCTTTTCTATAAGTACGTGTGTACGCGCAGTAAAGTGAGGTGCTTGTGATTTCACTCTCTTTCTCTCTGTCTCTGTCTTTCTTTCTCTGTCTCTAGAGCTATCGTATAACCTATTTTTTGCCTGCTTCTCTCTTGCTGCCACATGAAAAAAGGGCGAATAAAAGACAAGGCGCTATTCTTTTATTATGCGAGCCTAACGAATAACGAGCTTGGATTATTCGACGTCTTTCTGTATTTTCTGGCAAATTTTAAAATAACTCTTTTTTCACTTTTTTTCAATAATTATACATATTGTCTTACGTTTCGAAGTGTCATTGAACGTGTAAACAAGCAATGAAATTTTAAACGCTATTCGAACAGTCGCAGAATAAAATTCGCAAAGCTAAAAAAAGAGCACGGTGTAAATTGGAAAAAGCAATCAAGTATTTACAGGCTTTGAACGTTTTTTTTAATTACGAATTTATAAAATATATATACAAGCGAGCGATTCTCGACAAAAGTATAAAAATAAATAAAAATACGTCACTCTAAATGATTGTAAAATGTTGGTATAACATCGCAACTGCGAGTACATTAAATTACCACCGACGAGTTCTCGTAACAGTATTTCATAAAACAACCTAAACAGTCGATACGACAAGTATATTTATATTGCACGTTTATACGTTTTATTGAAATTTCCTTTTCAATGAAGTTACACTTATATTTATTGAAGCTATCAACACCTCCGACTTCTCTCTTCCATTGACACCAAAACTGAATGGAACGAAACGTTACATCAGATCGCTGCTTTTCGTTACGAACTCAATTTGTGAGGATTATTATTTTTTTTTTTTTATAAATACGAAGCAATTATATTTCATGCGAATGGTTTTGCGCGCAAAACGCGTTCAACGGTACTTTTACCCTGCGAAGCTGATTGATTTTCAACCATTAAAAAATTTCAATTTATGAATGATTGCGTTTAATCTTTCTTCGTAATTTGCCAGCAGTATAAGTAAAACATATTTCCAAAATAATTCGTCGAACGACTCTCGGAGTTTTTGTCAAGGCGTCTCTATCTTGCACTACTTGTATCGGAACTTGTCACATTCCCCCGAGACAGTGCACACCGGTACCTGTGCGTCGCCTCTTCATCGCGCGCTAAGATCATAAAGTGTTTATATGCCTAGAAAGATAAAAAGTCGCAGACCTTGAACTAGATCTTCGGGCGTGAAGGCGACACTGGTGCTGCTGCATCAGGGACAGATCGATTTTGAGGAAACGTCGCCAGTCGAGAGAATCTTGCTTATGCCGCCGGATCTGACAAAGGTCTCCGCGAAGGTATATAGAATGCGAGTTATTAAATGAGCTTATTATATGCTTTTACGCCTTCGTACGAGCTCGGCCAAAGTCATTAGCCGCGCGTCTACTACTTGTCGTCGCGTTATTCGTTACATCGCGAACGAATGTAAAAATTAAATCACTTTGAAAGTGGTCAAATTTTTGCGTCGAGAGTTTTTTCGTGATAAACAAAACTTTTTCACAAATACTTTCAAGAGAAATGCAGGATATTTTGAAGATTCGACATTTCAAACTGATACCCGATACTTGAAAAGATATTTTCTTGAAAAATATTTTTCATATATGCATCGTCGTCTCAAGCGTGGGAATCTCGAATCTCGAACCTCGGCGTTACATTTTTGACGTGCACTCGAACGACCATGACTTTTCCAAATATACATTTTCTCGATTTTATAAAATCAGAACTTTAGGGCTTTTAGAAAATTAAGCGAGTCAGTATAACCAGGGAATATTCATAAAAATCTCGTGTGTGCATACATATATACGTACGTACTCGACATGTAAGCAAAAGTACTCTCCTCGTGTTTGATAGCACACACACTTACACAGACGAGTTATCGATCCTCGACTTCGTATGCGCCGCAGCCGTGTCCGTACGTGTGAGCCTAGGTCTCGCGTCGACTTTAGACTTGCAGAGTTGCAGCAGCAGCAGCAGTAGCGGCAAGAGAAAAGCTTAGCCGTGAAAAATACAAAAACAGCCCGAGTCGCTCGCGCTGTGTGTCAAAAAGCGAGAGACGAGCAATCGCGCCGTGCACGACACACGAGGCTTGTGTCTTTCTCTAGGCGGTGCAAGCTCGAGTGCCGCTGCACGACGTACATTACGTATAGGTGTGCAAGTCGCGCGGCATAGATCCCCCGTCAGCGCCTAACAATAGACGACTCGGCGCGTCTCTCCGCAGCTGCTGCTGTAGTCGCGACGAAGCAAGCCTTAATTAGCGGACGCCGCCGACGAGGCTCGTGCNTGGGCCCCCCCCCCCCCCGACGACTTACGTAATATACTCGCGAAATATATATATGCGGTCGAGATCGATGCGAATTTATTTTTTCTCGTATACGCACACGCGTTAACTTGACCGTACGAGAACTGTTAACGAAAGCCCAGTTATTTCCTTCCGTTTGTGAGTCAACCGTTTTGAATTTTTAAAAATGTTTGACATCTCTTTTGTGTCGTGAAAAAAAAAACTTTTGAGCTTTGTGCCAAGCTTCGAAGTTTTTACATCCTTCCTTCTCCTTGTGTACGAATGTTTTCTCTTCGAATTAATATTTTTATTTTTCGTTACATGCTTCGTATGATTTTAACATTCCGCTCGAAGGGTGGCTATATACACGACGCCGGGCGACTTTCTTTATATCAAGGGATGCGCACATAAACTATTCATCTTTTTAAATATTAAATCCAATAATATCATTTTCTTTTGATTAAGTCGTTGTTATTTTGCCCCTGAAATATGAGGCATGTATTATTTTTCTCTGGAAGCAGAAAAAGCTGTAAGTAGTTTAAATCCGATATACAAAACGAAAAAGCTTTGTCCTCGTTGGCTCTCTTAAGTCTTTTCTGGCTTTTGCAAACGTTGCGGTATTAAAATTATCGCTGTTGAAACTCTCCTACGCGTCCCTTTTGCCGCGGCATTTTCTGCATAGTGTGTACTCTTGCGAACTCGATCACACACCGCTTTATACAGCGAACCCCTCCCGCACCTCGAATCGTAATTTTTAATGAAATTCGCGCGCTTTCGACGCTGGACCCGCGCAAATTTCATTCGAAACAAATATTGAATAATGCATTATTATTTTACACCAGCTCGAGGTCCGAAAGATTTAATTTAAGTTGGCCGCGATATGCGATGGGTGATTACGTGCGTGGCCGCCGCCTTCGCAGCCGCCACAGCCACCACCACCACTACCACGTACTGCACGAGGCACACGCTGCTAAGTTCAAGAATTCTCAAGCCTTGTTTTTCTTCGCGGCGCGCAATCGTAACTTTGTTGCAGTTTCCTCGAAGCCATTACGATAGTTAAAAAAGATTCCCCCTACCATCCTCCGGCACTAGAGAAGTAGAGTATATACCGAGC